GGGAGTTGTAAATGGAAAATTTCCTTAAAAACTGCTGCTCCTCATCGGGGGAAAAAAAGCTGCTTTGGTTAAGGTCTCTATCTACAATAAGACCTGCAAGTTATTAGTTGGATTTCATGTCCCAGGGGCACTGTGCAGTCAGAACAATTGTGATTCAGGGGTTTTATTAGCATGAGTAATCCTGTGAACTCCACATGACCTGATGCACGAGCACTGGACAAGGCTGAATCGAAGCGTGGAGTGTTAGGATGGAATTCCAGGTGGATTGCTGAGCAGAACACTGGGCAAAGACTGAACCTTGCAGTCCTTTTTAGAAGTTTTAGGTGGTGGAGGGCTGTGATTGCACTCAGATATTAATAAAAATGGTGTGTGTCACTGACTGGAGCGTTCTGGGAAGTTATTGCTTGGAAAAGCAAAGCAACAGAGGTGCTGTTTGAGGAACTGGTGTTTGAGTCTCAGCTGTTAATGATATCACTAAGCTCCTTTTGTGCTTCTGTCACATTATCCAGCTTTCCTAGCAGACTGTGTCCCGATTCCTGAACCTGCTCCTCCTGCTGTGTTGCCCTCAGGGAACGCTGTCCTGATATCTGCAGACCGTTTTCAAATTCTCAGGAATATTTGTCTTTGCCCCTGAAGGTCACCGGGCACCTTCCCTTTCTGTTCTGTACCGAGAGGATCATTTCACTTCTGAGAAATTTGTGGAAAGGACATGAGAGGACTTGCTGCTTTTGGACCAGAGTGAAATCTTTTCTGAGTATCTTGGGATCGGTGATTAATTTAAGCAAACAAAGGCTGTAGTACCAGTGCTTTTTGTATACACCATCAGCAAACTTGTAAGGAGCTTGATTTTCTGCACCAGATATGTGTATGACTGGCTTAAGCATTAAAATAAGTGAGGTGCCAGTATACTTGGAAAAAACATATATTCTGTGTTCAGTGACACAAAGTTAGCTGGGAAAGTAATTTTTGCAATCAAAAACATTACATTGAAAAGCTTAAAATATGGAGGTGGAAGAGTGTTTCCCCAAAAAACCAGAGTACCTGCTTCTGCAAAGCAATGGGCTCTTCCTCTAAGGTTGTGGTCTGCATGTGAGGGAACCAACTGGAAAAGCCTGGGGTGAAGTGTTTGTGTTTGGCCTTGCTAGCCAACCATATGTACCAATTAAAGGGAAAGGGAAAAGCTCCAGCTTCTTGAAAACCACAGAAATAAAAACCCCAAATCAAACCAACGAAACAGTGTCAGTTTGTGTGTGAGGGCTGCAGTGGAACAGGATCATGTGCTTACTTCGGATTTAAAAGCTTTCTCACTCATGACAGTTGTTACCAGCTGAATATCTCAGAATTTCCTCCTTTAGGTTGTCTTCCAGGTATTGGAAAGACTGAAATGATGGAAGGGGACTCTGTGCTCATCCTTCTTGGGAAAAGAATTCTGGTGTGAATTTATTCCCCTCAAAATACCCGTCTAAAAATGGGTGCGTGAGCTGTGTCACGTTGCTCCTCCTCTGAGTGGAATCTGCTGCTGGTCCACCCTGTTTCCTGTAGTTTGTTTTTCTGCACGAAGTGGAAAACTTTGTCCTTGTTTTGGGAAGTACCCTGGTGTAGTTAGGAACTAAAATTAATGCTGGGTATTTCTGTACGCGTTTCAAACAGGCCTTTGGTGCTGTGAGACGCCTTTCAAGCTGTGTTTACAGGCCACACACTTGCACTTCATGGGAGTGAAATGGGGATGCTTGGAGGGTGTGGAAGCTGTGCTGGGTGTATTGGATGTGCTGGGAAATAAGGATGCTGGGCAGGCTGCTGGTTGTTCAATGAACTTTGACAAAGGGGGAAATACCTTAACTATTCTGTGCTTTGAAAAGACTAGCAGTTATAGAATTTGAGTTCTCAAGTTTATCTTACTCATGGACATAATTTTAGATTCATGGATTATTTAGAAATGTGGGTAGTTTAGCCCCTCTTATAAGCACTTCCAGTTATGTTTTGGGTTTTTCCTTTATATTCAGGTCAAGGTCTTTTCTGTTGTTATTAATACAGCACCTAGAGATCATAATTGGTAGCGAGAGAATCCTTGTGCAAAAGCAGTAATTCATGCTTTTTAAATGTGAGGCTTTCCTAGGGTTGAGGAAACTTTGCTTTCTTTAAACTGTTGGAAAACCACGTGTGTTTGCTCTGGTGGTGTCACTTGTCACAGCGTTATCCAGGGCCCGGTCTCGGAGCAGTCCTAGCGTATCATTCCTTGTTCTTAGGCAGCTTCATCCTGCTCTCTGCTTCCTGGCCTGGCTCTTCCCATGCTCTCTGCCATCATCTCCTGAAACTCTATGATGATACCCCAGCCTCTAAAAGCACCAATTGTGCTGTTTAGCATAAGGAAGGAATAGAGAATCCTTGAAACAACTGTGGGGAGAAGGCATCGGGGCCCAAACTCTGGCAGTGAGTGCCCACTCCATGGACAGGGCTCTGGATTGCATTCCAGAGCTTGGCTTTGAAGGGAGAGGAGAGCAGAAGCACAGCAAACTGCTCTGAGCAGAATTGCTCCTCTGGTTCGAGAACACTGTGTGGTTCTCAGTGCAGTTTTCCAGCGTTTCCCTCTCGCTGTGGGCACTGCTGGGCTTGGCTAACTGCAGCTTGCTGTAACATTCCTTATTCCCATCTCTCTCTCTGCCTGTGATGTTACACTGCCATATAGACGTGTCCAACTGTGCTCTGTAATCTTCATTAGAGATTTTTTTCCCAGAGAATCTTTTAAATACTTCTCTCACCACCATCTCTGATGCTGCATTTTGCTCTCGAGAATTCATCCCTCTTGCAGGATTTCAGAAATGGGGCACAAGTGGTGTTACCTCCAAGGCAGGTATTTTTCACTGGTAATTGTTGATTGAGAGCTTTAATTTCTAGGTAGGCAGTTTGAGGGCTTGTCTGAACAGAATCTGATCTCCCAAACCCTGAAAGCCTTGAGTCATTTGTCACTCCCCTGAGTTGCCACCAGTGTGATTAATGATTGTTGTTTCCGTTTGAGGTCCTCAGAAAATGCAGAACCTCAAATGCTGCTTTAGGAGGATGAAGAGCAGAAATCAGGCTTCTAAGAGAAATTGTTTCTTGCTGTGTTAATTCAGTACTTTGGTAATGGAAAGAACTTGCCCAAATTGACCTTCCTTGAACTTGAGGCTTTCTGCTGGTGGCACTCAACTCCCACAGTGCTCTGTATGTTTTAAACCATTTTTACTGCAGTCTTCACATATCTGGTAAAGAGTTGTGATACTGAGGATCTGTGACCTTGTCAGGTTACCTCCAGGTGGTGGGATGTGTACCTGTTGTGTTTTACAGATGAATTGTGTCCTTGGTGCTGTGATGTGGTTGTACAGAGGGTTCTCAGCGTTTGTCCCGAGGCAGTGCCAGCCCTGTGGGATCCTGTGGATCACACTGTGATCATGTTCAATCATCAGGACTCAAGTTACTCTTGATACACTTTCCATCCTAAGTTTTTCTGATTGTCATTACTGGAAAATAATAGTCCTGCTGAGAAGATTTACTTGCCTCGGTACACATGCCTGTCCCAAATGGAAAAGGACATTATGACTTAGGGCTGAGCTCTAAAGTATTGACATTTAGCTTCCCATTTTAAATACTTTGAATATTAGAGCTGCACAGGCTTCATTAACGGCAGAGAAGTTCATTTGACTAGAGATGGATAAATTGCTTTCTCTGTCAGTTTGTTTTTGCTGTTCTAAAGCCAGATGGATTTTTCTGTTGGCTGAAGAATGCCAGACCTGAAATACTGCATTCTTTGCCCTGTCTGCAGGCCTGTAGTAAATACAGCACCTGTGGGTGAGGCCAGTCAGCTGAGAATGAATAACCATTTCATTCATCTGTCTTTTGTTTATACTTGAGAGATTTTTTATTTTTTTTTTTAACTAAGCGTTGCAGAACCTTTTTCTGGTGCTCTTCAAATAGCTGTTTAATAATATTGCCCTGCAGTGAGAACAGCAGACAAAAATAACATTTTTTTGGTAATGGTAGCCATTAGCAGGAAGACTTCTGCTCATTTATTTTTTTCCTAATAAATGAGAAGATGAGTTAGTGTGTTTGTCATTCAATCAGGTGCCTATGAATTCAGATCTTGGCAATATAACTTTTGCAGTATGCTTAACTTGGAAGCATTTCTGCTGTGGATGTAGCCACGTGATAACATTTCCCATGAGTTCAAGCTGATTTCCAGCTCTCCCTGTATCCCACTCCTCTGAGAGGACAGCAGTGGCTCTTTGGGGATGTTCTTACACCCATATAGGAGTGGGTGACACTCTGAGTAATTGAGACCTGATTTCAGCTGATGGGTCTCACTGGTTGCCCTCCCTTTTCATCTTTTCCTTGCTCATACTCTCCCTGGTGGAATTCAACAGGGTTTGACTTATTAATGCCCAGGACCTTCTCAAGAATCTCGTGTGTCATCAGGTAGAACAAAGAGGCAGAAGAAATGGACTCAGCTTTGTCAGCTTATCATGGAATGGGTTGGGTTGGAAGAGACCTTAAAGACCATCTTGTTCCATCCCCCTGCCATGGGCAGGGATGCCATTCACTAGATCAGGTTGCCCAGGACCCCATCCAGCCTGGCCTTGGACACTTCCAGGGATGGGGCATCCATGGCTTTTCTGAGCTTTGTCCTTTTTATAAACTATCTAAAAAGTGTGGTCTGAGAGGAAACTTCCACACTTAACCTGTGCCCCTGCAAGCTAAAGAGTCCTTATGAAAGCCAAAGAACTTGGCATTTTACCCCTTTTCCTGTTTTTTTTTTTTTTTTATCTTGCAGTGATATGGAACACAGGAAGTGCATGTTCTCACCCAAAGAGGCACCATTAGCATTCTCAGATAGTGCTCCTCTAACTTCACCTTCCAATGGGGCCTTGTAGTCACTGGTCTTTACTGGATGTGGTATTTCTGTGTATAAACAAGGTATAAAACTTAAAATACTTTTTCTAAACGCTGCTGTTTGCTTTCCTTGGCAGAATAAGAGAGTCGGAGGGGCCGGGAGCGCAGGACGATGCTGCTGAAAGGAGTGTGAGCCACGGAGCATGTTTGGTGCCACAGTTACCCAGGTGGGCTCCTCTCATTGCACCTCTGATGAACCACAGGCTGTGGTGATCGCTGCTCCATCAGTGATCCTGAGTCAAGGAGGGCAGTCTCAGCACCTCAACACAAAATTCTGCCCTGCTTTCCTAGTTGCATACAGATGGCACTTGCAGTCTGAGACCTAAAACCTTTTATTTGTGCCTAAATTTTATCTGATTGTTAGGTTGCAGCAGGTCTCTCTTTAAATGTTAACGCTGGTTTATATCATGAGGTGGGCTGAATATTTCGTGCCCAGAGAAGATATGGTCTCAATAAAGGAGGTGCTGAACTACACATGTGAAAGTGGTTTTGAGACTTGCTCCAGGTGACTCATCTACGGATCATCTGCTGGGTTTCACGAGTCAAAAGCAGATGGGTAAAGTCCTCCATCATTGCTTTGCACACCAGTATTTAATGAACCAATATAGATTTTTTTCAGGGTGTTTTGATAGGAAATGGGAAACTTTCTGATGTTTGGGGTTTTTTCTCTCCCACATATATAAAATTTTGGGGATGGATACTGAAAATCTTCACTTAGATGCTGCTCAGTTCTGTGCTGCCTAATCATGTGCTTATGCTGAGGAGAGATGTTCAGGAGGCAAAGATCTGCCTTATGTGATGGAGTCCAGGATCCTTCAAAAGCAGTTCCATGTCCTGGAAGTGATCACAGTCCAGCACCACTGGCTGTCTTGCAGCTCTGAGGAAATAAATAGAGAAATAACAATTAACGTGGCTGCAAAGTGTTGCTGTAGAATAGCAGACAACTTTTCTACTAGCACCAGCTGGCAAGTGGGAGGGGACAAACAAAGCAAACAGCCCAGAAAAGTAGGAGGAACAACAGTTATAGCCTAAAAAGTGACACATTGGGAGCCCAGCATGAAGAATAACAAACTCCTGTCACAGGATGTTTTGCATAGCAACAGGACTCTTGTCTTCAAGTGGACTTTATTGTAACTGCACCACTTGCTTCCTGTGTGAGATAAAGACCTGTTGTGCTCTGAATGCATTTTAATCTCTATATCTAAATGGGACTAATAATTAAAAAGAATTAGCTGAAGGAAGCGATCGTGGAGCCTATTGCTCCTGAAAGCGTTTCCTCTTGTTTTGCTGTCGGAGAAGCGAGAGCAGAGACACGTGGAAAGGAAGCAGATTAAAGATGAACTTTCCCACCAGGTGCTGAATGCTGCCTGCAGGCTGCTTTGTCGATGAAGGAAGAAATTGATTGGGAATTGAGAGCACGAACCAGTTCATAACACACTTCAACAATGCGCAAAGGGGTGCCAAAGGACCCAGAAATAGCTGACCTGTTCTACAAAGATGATCCTGAAGAAATATTCGTGGGTTTGCATGAAATCGGTCATGGAAGTTTTGGAGCAGTTTACTTCGTGAGTATGGATCTTTCCTTTTTGGGAAACAAGAGTCATTTGCAGTGACATTTTGGAGATTCTCAGCATTTGTAAAAATGAACTCTTTGTGCTTTGTGTGTGTTGGTTTTCTGATAACACATCTCAAAATAAGTGTTCAACCTGAGCTCTTTACAGTAGCTCTTCCTAATAACAGTTCACTGTAGTCTTATTAGAGCACCCAACCATACAGGTCAAGTATATGGTATTTTGTGCTGTTCGAAAATTGGGTTTAAACAGTTGGAAATTAATTTGCCAGACCTGGAATTTCAAGATACTCTATGTGGTGTTCATGTGCTTGTAAATCACTGCAAATTAATAGGTCTAATGTCTTCAGTAGGAAATTCTTACATGACAAGAGCAAAGAGAAAGTCCTAAGACGAATGGGAATTCAAGTGGGAATAATTTATGGCATTAATTGATACAGTCAAGAGAATTTAATTCAGGAAGTGAGAAGAGTAGTGCTTTTACAGTTGGGATCGAACAAAGCCAAATACAAAATACTGGGTTTGGAAATCATTTAATCCAGTTGCCATCAGTGAAATTAAAATTGAGTCAGTATAAAAAAAATCAATCAAAGACAAATTAAAGCTGCTTAGTGGTGTGGTCAGCCACTCAGAAGATCAGATTCACTGGAATTGGGGTTTCTGAATATCAGAGATTATGAAAGTATTTACAGAAGATCTGTTACACCTGTAAATCCGTAAGCTGGGAATAGCTGACATGAATTATTTTAAGCACTCCAGTTGACTGTTTGGAGCTGTGTAAAGTGAATGGAAGTGTTGCTAGAACAGGACAGGAGCTCGAAATGTTGAGTCAGGTGAGCAGTGCATGTGTGTTTTGAGGGGTAATGATGTAATTCCTCGAGGTATAATCTACAAATATGGCCAGAATTGCTTCAGCAAGTGGCTGTTTGTCAAGTGTGCTCATACAGCCCTGTAAGTTGGCTCAGCCAGGAGGGTCCCAAGCACTCGGTACAGCCAGAACTTTCACCCACAGCTCTGGGAACGTGGCATTGTGCCCTTCAGTGACAAATTCCATCTGGAATGAGAGATACCACGGTCAGGTGAAGATACTTGGAATTAATGTGACAGAAATACAGCATTAATGCCTCTGTCTGAGTCAAATACTCTTGATCTTTTCTGTGCTGAATCAGGAGGGCGAGTGGTGGGGAAGGGTTCTGCCTTACCCACAGTTTCTTGTTTTCAGCTTTCTGTACCTCACTTGAGGAGTGTGTGCTGGGAGGACTCTGTCACCTCCCTTCAGCAATTCCTGTGCTCTGTTGGCTCACCCAACATCATTTTTCTTTGAAGTCACTGCAGGCAGCACAAAAGGTCTTTGGTTAATACGTTACTTGAGAGCAGTTGAAAGGAGGATTTACCACATTTAGCTCCTATTATCGTTTAAGCTTTTAACTGTCACTAATTTTTTTTTTGTCCCAAAAGTGGTTGGAGGTACAGAGATTTCAACAACTCTTTTAAGACCAAAAGCTTGAAGTTTTCTGTCCTTAATGTGCGGAAATGAGGGCAGTGCCAGTCCAGACAAGGAGAGATCTTTCCAAAACTGCGGTTTCAGGCTCCATCCCTGCATCATACAGGCTGCAGAAAAGTACAATTTTGAGTCAGTACAGAATTTTGATGTCACTACTACGTAATATACCTGGCAAAACTGAGATCTAGTGCAGCGAAAGAGGGGTTGCTTTTTGAATTGAAAAAAATTCCAGAATGAATCATCTTCTTGAAGGAGGGAATTGAAGTAGCCATTGAAGAGTTTCAGTGTTGTATGGAGGTTTTGGATGAAATCAGAGAGATTTTGATACATCTCTCTATTTGTTTCTTTGGAAAACGTTTTTTCCAAAGGTGTTTCTAAAACTGGTTTTGCTGCAGTTGCAGTAAAACTGTATTTTGCATGTTTGCTTGGTTTGTGTATCAATAGAGAGGTAACAAGTGCAGTTACTCTGAGGGAGGAACAGTGGGTGTGGAGAGATAAAGTCAGGGAAAAAAGTATCCTAATAGTTGTCTGGTAGATCTTATCACGAGGAAGACATCTCTGAGGTGCAGGAGCTTGCAAGGATATGACAGAGGAGAAAAAAGCTTACCTTTGCCACAGGCACAGCTCACTCCATGGGGAGGGGAAAAAAATGAAACTTTTTTCAATCTGTTTCTTTCCCTACTCCAGGCTACAAATTCCCACACTAATGAGGTGGTGGCAGTCAAGAAGATGTCCTACAGTGGGAAGCAAACGAATGAGGTAAGATGGATAAAGGCAGTTTTTCTCGCAGAAGCTGTGGCTGCCGTAATGTAAATCTGAGCAGTGAAATGAGCTGCAGGTTTGATTTGACCCCAGCAGAACAGCTTTTCATGTGGGAGCTGCTGCTCCCTTCCACGGGAAGTTTTGTGGAGGGAAAATGAGTTTATGCAAATTTTGACCAATAGTTCAGTTTAAGGAAGTGAATGGGGATTCAAAATGCCTGTATGGGGGTTGTTGCAGAAATAGTTTCAGTAATAATGCAGTAAGAGCACGCTGGCCACTGGAACCATAACCACAGCTCTCTGAAATGTATAACTCATGTGAAACACTCTTCAGGATCTGTAATCTGAAATTGCAGAGACCTTGTATTGAGAAAATCAGTCTCATTTCAACTGTTGCTTTTTAATTGTCCCTCTTATTTTTGTGTTGTGGTGCTGTGAACTTGGATCCACTGTTCCTTTGGACCTGTGCTTTGACATGCGGTGCAGGGTGTGTTTTGTTTGTTAAGAGCAAACAGGGGTGTTTTAAACTCATTTTTTCTTGCTTCCCTGTTGGTCTCCCAAATGTCAGTGGTTTTATGCTGTTACAGAAGGAGGTGAGCAGCTCATTGCCACCCTCTGTAGCACTTCTGGTGTCCCATGGGGCAGGTGGGTTTGTTACTAGGTGTGAGACCCACCATGTAAAACAGTAGCATTTAAGTAAAAGGTATTGCAGTAAGAGTGAGGAAAAAAATTTAATTTTTGCAATCCTCAGGGTGTTTAAATGTGTCTTGGGGATATCTCAGTGCAATAAGGATCCACACAGCCGATGATCAGTTGTTCTTATACAGCTCTGACTCTCACCCACTTCATGTTATACAGTAGCTTTATGGTCAATCCTCAGACTGTCCTACAGTGTGTGGGGATGGAGAGGATGCAGAGGACTAAGCAGGGAAATGTATTAATAGCTTTTGCCCTTTTTTCCCATTAGAAATGGCAGGATATCATCAAAGAAGTCAAGTTTCTACAACAGCTGAAGCACCCCAACACCATAGAGTATAAGGGCTGTTACCTGAAGGAGCACACGGCGTGGGTGAGTGAGATCTGCGTGGGCAGAGAACGTGGAGCAGAGTCAAATACTCAGTACAAGCAGTGTCTATACAAAAAGCAGTGCTCATCCTGTGCTGCCTGTAGTCCTTTTCACCTGAAGAACCTTCCAAGTTATCCCCAGGGAATAAATACTTAGAATATTGTTAAGAAATCCCTGCTTCTCTGAGGCAGGTCTCTGTGTTCAGACAGATTAAACAATTACTAGGGAACATCCTCTACAGCTTGTACCGACAAACTTCAGTGCTAAACCACCTTCACAACAGTGAAAGATGTCTTGACATTGCTAAAATGTCTGCAGGATTTTATTTTGTTCACCACTGGTTGCATTTCTTGCAGCTTCAGGTGTTATTTGTGTCTGTGGCTGTTTCTCAGCCTTTCGAGCAGGAACTGTGTGTGGGGAAGTGTCTACCCCTGTTACTTCTAGAATCATAGAATCACAGAATGATTTGGGTTGGAAGGGACCTTAAAGATCATCTTGTTGCAAGGGACGCTTTCCAGAAGCAACATTATTGTTGATTATTCGAGGAAAAGGCACAAAATAAAGATCAAGAACTAACCTGCAACATTGTCCTCCGTGTACATATCTCAAAGTCTGATTTGAATTTCCTTCTTGAGTAGCTGTAGACCAATACTGATTTTGTGGTGAAACAGTACTAAAATAAAGTAAAATTTTTCATCCTCTTATGGAAAAGCAACAAATCCTATTACTTGGGTAAAAAATTTTTTTTTTCAACCAGGGCATTAAATTTACCCTGTGACTTAAGTTTTCTATATGTAGCCCTTCCTTACTTGTAAAGACATTTTTATAATTTCAGAATGCTTCAAAAAGTACTTAAAGGCCTGATATTTTTTTCTTGCAGTTGGTTATGGAGTACTGTTTAGGATCAGCTTCTGATTTGCTAGAGGGTAAGTTTTTTGATTTTCTTTCTGCTGGTGCCCCTACTGAGTGTGGTGGGAGGCTGTTTTCTGACGGACTGGGGTTTTGCAGATAGTAGAGATGGTCTGTCTGTCCTGCTCCGTTCTGTTCCTAGAATTTGGGACAGCAAGGGTAAGCTGAGGCTTTCCCTGGAGGCCAGTGCTGCAGAGAGCTGGCATGCATGTTTTTATGTTGTAAAATGAAGGTATAAATGTGTATGGCTGTGTTCCTGTAATTTGTGCCTTCTTGGCTGAAGCAGACTGCCTATTTCCTGGGAATCCATAACAAAATCCTGCAGAGATCACCTTTGTCCTTGCCTTGTAGCTTGTAGGAGTAATTACAGATGGTTGTATAAAACAAGAGGCTGATGTGACCTCAAGACTAGAACAGCACCTGCAGAGAAATAGAGAATCTAAGTCAAAATAGGGAATCTAAGCCAAAGTTTGCAAAAACAAGTACTCCTTGGGGCCTTGTCTTCTGTATGTGAGATCACAGAATGGTTTGGGTGGGAAGGGACCTCTAAAGCTCATCCAGTTCAACCCCCTGCCATGTGCAGGGACACCTTCCACTAGCCCATCCAACCTGGCCTTGGACACTTGCAGGGATGGGGCAGCCACAGCTTCTCTGGGCAACCTGTGCCAGGGCCTCCCCACCCTCCCAGGGAAGGATTTCTTCCCAATATCCCATCTAAAGTGGCAGCTTAATGCCATTAAGATACAGTCAAGCCAAAGCACGTGCAGGTCATATTTAGGGATGTATGGAAGGTGCTTCGGGGCACCTCTCTGTAGCAGATTTGGTGGGGTTCCTTCTCTTTCATTTTCTCAGGAAAAGATCATGCTTAGTTTCTTCTGGGGCTTTTTTTCTTGATTTTTTTTTTCTTTTTTTAATTAATTTTTTTCTGTAGTTCACAAGAAGCCACTTCAGGAAGTGGAGATTGCTGCCATCACCCACGGTGCCTTGCAGGGGCTGGCCTACCTGCACTCTCACTGTAAGATCCATAGGTAAGGCTGGAGCTTGGGGCTGCTGATCCCCTTCCATCTGCTGTTTTCTGATGTCTCAAATCTGCTTCAGTGTGTTTGAACAACTTTGGTCAAAATTATTCGACCAAAATCCTCTCTAGTGGGCATGTCAGTACTCCTAATGCCATGGCAGATGTATAAATAAAAGCTATTGGTTGTTAAGGAGTGTATTTTTTTGGTTGAAATAGTTCAGTGTGGGTCTGTCCTGTGCTGGTTTCTCTTCCATGTCGGCAATAGTTCTCTGCAGACCCTGATAACAAAGAATGCGCACAAATGTTGGCACTAAACAGGAAAATATCACCCTAAATTTGCCAATTAAAGTGTAATGCTACACTATTTTTAAGACTAGACATTGTGAGAATATTTTACATATGAGAAGGTAAAGCTTTATGCTTTCAGAAATCAGGCAATGGACGTGTAAGTCAAGGATAAAAACCACTTTAGGAGAAATCAAAGCACAGAGGCAGAGGAAGATTTAATACAGGCACTTCCTAGATCTGTCTTTCATAATGAGGTGTTTTTCAGGACTTTGGATTTATTTTTTTTTTTACTCATTTGTCAGCAGTGTTGCATGTTCTCATTTGATTTTATTTCTTTGGTCTAATTTTGGGTACCACTGATATGTCAGGGACTTGTGAAGTGAGTGAGAACTGGATTAATGGGTGGGAATACATCAGAATAAAGCAACTTGAAACTCATTTATGGAGCTAAAAGCTTCTTTGTAGTCTACTGGAAATCTTGAAACGAAAAATTGGTGTATCTGAAGCTGAGTTAGTGAAGGATTTTTAGAGACAGGAATTATTTGTTGCTTGTTAGAATAATTATTTGGGGCGTATCTATACATGATGAAATCATATTAAAGTAAAAAAATTCAATGCATTCCAATTTATGAAATGAAAATATTATTATTTTGGATGAGTCCTCTGCCCATATTTGAGCATAAAATACTTGTTTGGAAGTATTTGAAATGTTTTCAAAGTGCATTGAATTGTTGTTTATAGGGACTCCCTGTATGGACAGTATTGAGAATAAGGGGTTTTTTGATAGGACTTCCTAGCATGGTGCAATTATGTGTTACGAATTCAGCAGTTTCCCCTGCTGGAATACCAACTACTCCACGTGACCTTTCCATTAACATCCTTGTTCCATATCAACACTGAAATGGTTATTTCTCTTTCCAACTGGGAAGTTCCTTTGCTGTTGCAGAGTGCTGGGAGCACCCATAAGGGATTTACTGCTGGAAGGGCCATGGGGGTTGTTCCTGTTGATCTTTTTGAGAAAACTGAGAGTGGAGATCTTATCAATCCATATAAATTTCTCCAGGGGAATCAGAGGATGGTGCCAGACTCTTTTTGGTGGTGCCCAGCAATAGGACAAGAAGAAATAGCCATAAACTAAAACAAAAGTCTCACCTCAACATGGGGAAGAACTTCTTTATGTTGAGGGTGGCAGAACACTGGGACAGCTTCCCGGGGAAGGCAGGGACCATCCCTCTGGAGACATTCCAAACCCACCTGCTCTGGGTGACACTGCCTTCGCAAGGGAAGTTGGACTGGGTGATTCCAGAGATCCCCTCCAACCTGAGCTGTTCTGTGATCCTGAGACCTGCATTTCATCCCAGGGGTATCCCACCTTTTAGCTCCTGGGATGGGAAGGCAAATCTGCTCTCCCATTAAAAAAAACCATCAAGGGTTTTCTGGGTTTGTGTCTGAAAAGGAGAGGCGAGAGAGCCAGTCCTGGCTGGGCGGGGAGCAGTGCTGTGCTGCTGTGCGCCACTCCTGTGGCGCTGGGGACGGTGAAGGCGATGCCGAGCGAGAAGGGACCGAAATTTGGGAGCGTGGACCGAATTTTGGGGTCGGGCCCCGCGCGGGGACCTGGCGCGGGGGGGACACCTGGTGGCGAGGGAGCGGCACTGCAGGCCCGGCCTCCCGCGCATCCCCGTGCCCTCCACATCCCGAGTCACTCACCCTGGGAATGGCTCAGGAGGAGGTGATGGTGGTTGTTTAATCGCAGGCACAAGGCGAGTGGATATGTTGCTGGTGTCTGGACGTGGCTGCTGCGTCATCATACAGAATCACAGAATGGTTTGGGTTGGGAGGGACCTTAAAAGTCATCTTGTTCCAACTCACACCTTCCACTATCCCAGGTTGCTCCAAGCCCCATCCAACCTGGCCTTAAACACTTCCAGGGATGGGACAGCCACAGCTGCTCTGGGCAACCTTTGCCAGGACCTCACCACCCTCACTAAAAAGAGTTTTTTTCCTAATATCTAAGCTAAACCTACTCTCTGTCAGTTTGAATCCATTCCCCTTGTCCTGTCACTCCTGGCCCTTGCAAACAGCCTCTCTCCATCTCTCTTGTAGCTTCCCTTCAGGTGCTGGAAGGCTGCAATTAGGTCACCCCAAAGCCTTCTCCTTTCCAGGCTGAACAAAGCCAGTTCTCTCAGCTTTTCCTCACGGGAGGAGATGCTCCATCCCCTTGCTTGTTGTACAGGGAAGGTGGCAGTGGAGGTGACAGCAAAGGGCACAGCATGTGTCCTCTCTCTCTCTTGTACTTTTGAGGTGTTCATTCTTGCACGCAAACTTTTCTCTTTTTTTCCTTTAAAGGGATATTAAAGCTGGAAATATTCTCCTAACGGAACCAGGTCAAGTGAAACTCGCTGATTTTGGGTCTGCATCTATAGTCTCCCCTGCCAACTCTTTTGTGGGAACGCCTTACTGGTGAGTAAAGCCTGTGGTACCTTCAGGCCTTCATAAAACTTACCTTCCATTTTCAGTATTTCACAATAACATCTGGCATAAGAACTTTATTAACCAAGAAGTTTTCCTAACGTTTCTGCATCCAGGTCTTCAGGAAGTGTGTCCTTCCTCAGTGTCCACGAGCAGAGTTTTAGGCTCCGCAGCACTTGGAAATGGCACCAGTTAATGGCTCCACTGTTGCAATGCCATGGGCTTAAAAATAATTAACATTTGCCATAAGTAATGGAGCTAAAACAGCCCCATGGAGAAAGGGAATCCTGTTAATCTGGCCATGCAGACTGCAAGTCACACAGCTACTTAAATCCTGTTTTGAAGGAACTTGCTTGAAGGGTCACTTGAGTTCCTTGGCATTCCTAACACAGTGGACCAGCACGGCTCCATGCTCCACTGATTTTGTGGCAGAGGCCCCAGAAATTGCTGGGAGGTCACCATGGCCCTGAACGAGGCCATTTGGCAGGAAGCCTGTTTGTCTTGGAAGAACACAATTTAAGAGGCTGAATTTTTGCAGGCTGGGCCTGCTGCTTCATTTTCTCCCCACTCATCCCCTTACCCTGGACCACCATATTTCCCCACTGTTCCAGATTTCCCTGTTCCATTCATAGATGTGCCCACAGGCTGCATAAATCTGCTGGAAAATTCTCCTGGTGTGCCAATGGGAAGCCCACCAGCTCTGGTGAGAGGGCAGGGGATCCTTTCCCCACCTTTAGGGCTCTCCCACCCCGTGCTGTCTGCCTGCAGGAGCAATGCCTTTGGGATTGGGCAATCTCTCATGTCGTACTAACAGGGAGATGGAACCCCCTCATTCTATGTGCTGGGAGTGACATCCACGTCCCCTAAGCTGCCCTTTGCTCTGTGGTTGGCAGGATGGCACCAGAGGTGATCCTTGCTATGGACGAGGGACAGTACGACGGGAAGGTGGATGTCTGGTCCCTTGGAATCACGTGTATCGAGTTAGGTGAGTAAATGCATGGCAGCTGAGACGAGTAATTCCCTGTCTGCCATGTATTAGGAAGTCCTGAAATAAAGGACTCATAAAATATTCCTCATAAGGGTCCTTTTTTTTTCCCCTTTAAAATGCTTGACTTGGAAAACACTAACAATTCAGTTAAAGGTTTAACTTGCTGGCAAATCCAGAGGAAGCCACTGATGTGCTGTGTTTCCATGTTAGTCTGGTGTGCTTAGTTATTCCCTTAACAACCAGAAGGTTCTACTCTTGTATGAGAGGAAACCATCATTTGTCATCTGTATTTTCCGAGGTGGACTCTGAGAAAGCTGTGCCAGCTGTTATGTCAAGGGAGATGTTGTCCTAAGGGTTGTGTGTCAGAAGGGACCTGTGTTTAATTTTCAATTCTTCTTACGTCCCTGCTCCCTGAAATGAAAATCTTCAATCCCAGCTGAAAGTTTGGGCCACGAATCATTGTGGACAGGTTCTATACATGAGTAGAGAAGGGTTTGCACTGCAGAGAGCAAATGATACACAGCCTGGAGCAGATGTGGATGTGATGGCAGGTATACAGAGCAGATTTGGAGTGCATTTTTAGTTTGTATATTGGCATTGCATGTGCTGAGTAGAGTATTCTCAAAAATAGTCTTGATATGGATTATACTTAACACAGTACATCAATAACTTATTGTCAGGGTGAGTTCACTGAAAATGTTGTTGATAAAAGTTTAATCAGGAGAGATACATGTGAGATAACAAAGGGGGCATGTGCAGAATGGGAAGAAATGTCTCCAGTATGGAGTAGGTGATGATGTAGGTGACTGGTAACTAAGTGTTGTATTTCACGTGCCAGCATGCTGACACAGTCTGTGTTTTGATATAAAAAAAATGCCAAAATCAGAAGTTTTAGACTTCTCTTTTTCTGCATGGCCACTGGGTTTTGTTTGTACGGAGTTTTCAGCCATGTTACAACCTCTCAAGGGGTAAATCACAGCAGTAGGAGAAATACTGTGCAACCCTATGCAGACAAAACACTCTTGGTACCAGAATTTCTCTGGAGCTTTTCACTCAGGAACCTCAAAACCATATTACAGATTTCATGGATTTCCTTTTTTTAGTATTACCCTTTTGGGAAGTAATAAATTTCTTTTTAAACTTCAGACCTTGCCTTTGCACGATTCCCTCTCTGAACACAGGGTCAGGTAGAAGTGGGAGGAAATCTCTTGTTGAGCAACACTTGGCTTCATTTCTTAATTATTTCTTCTTAATTCCTTGTGTAGCTGAAAGTAAGTAGTGCTTAAAGAAAAGCAAATGTGGTGGTTTGCCTGCCTGTGCATGGCAAGGACAAGTGACTGCTCTGACCTGACATGAACTGAAAAATCTTGGCATCACTGACTGGCATGACTGACCTGGGGTGGTGATGAAAACCAGCCTTTCCCAATTTCTGTGTGAGATCTGTCCTGAAAGGTCAGGGGCTGGTAGGCAGGTGCCCTCCCTGTGCAAGGACTAGGAAGGATTTTAAAGGGAGTTAACACACCTGGCAGGTGAATTTGGTAAACTGTCCCACTTGCATGAGGCAGACAACCCCTCTTTGCTGTAATTCAGGTGCTTCAGCAGTGCATGAAAGATCTCTAGGGATTGATACAGCATGTCCTGGCCCTGACCCGCTGTGCCTGAGCTCAGGTTTATTGAGTTTCAGCTGATTTTACCATAGAAAGTCAGGTGTGAGATGTTGCAATTGAGGTAAAATTGACTGGAAACTTTTCCTTACGATTTGTGTCCTGCCAGCTTTGGATTCCATCATCCCTCTCCAAGTGAACAGCAGCTTTTCTGGAGTGGGTGTCCTGATCTAACCTGGAATAATGAAATAATTAGCCTAAAAGAGATGACAACAGCAATGAGCCATTGATTCAGCAGTGATACCCTGCTTGCACTTCCACATCCTTCTCCTTTCTTTCCAGACTGCCTTATCATACCTTTCTCTTCTCTTTCCAGCTGAGAGGAAGCCTCCACTTTTCAACATGAATGCAATGAGTGCCTTATATCACATAGCCCAGAACGATTCCCCTACGTTACAATCGAACGAATGGTAAGAGAGCAATTAACAGATTATTTTTGTTGTTCACTTCCCTGAAAATGCTCTGCATGGTTAAACTCTGACAAGGAAAGTGCTGGTTGCAGTGCAGTCACTTGCCTCTGTTCTCAAGTCATGCTCCTGTGTAGGCTGGCTCAGTTTTGCCCTTCTGTCACTCTGGCTGTGCTGCAGTCCAAGTGAGTGGAGGTGTTAATTATGGGGCTGTGGATGCTGGAGGAGTTAAAATATTCTTAGATGCGTTAAATCGGCGTCAGCGAAGTTTCCAGCGGCAAAAGATCCCTGACAGAAAAATTGTTGGTACCTTTGTGCAGCTGAAACGTGGAGAAAGGGAGGGGAGGGGTGCACAGAACACAGAGGGAACTGAATATTTTTTGTCAGTGAGTGGCTCCAAAAGCCATCAGAGCTCTGCGGCCAGTAAATGCTCCCCACGCTACAGGCGCGTTCCAGAGCCTGGGCTCTGACAAAGGAACGCTTTTGTTATTCCGTGGGAGCCAAGGGGTTGCTCTGTTTCCTGCTCCCTGCACCCAGGAGTGGAGTGTTGCTGTGGAGTGATGCTTGGCAAGAACCTGCAGAAGGCTTGAAACAAAAGCTCCTGGAGAAACGTGAAGATCCCTCATTTCTCTGCGGGGCATTTAAGCAGCGTAATTGTTTAATTGCTGATCATTTTATCCGAACCACTCCAGTTCCCTTATTTCATCATCATCATCTCTGTTTCATCTGTTTTTCAAGATTTGAAGAGCTTGGTCTCCTACCTGGACACTGATACCCATGTTCTGTGCAGAGTTTGCAAAGCAAAGATAACTGTGAATAGAGCATAAAAATCAGTGTTTGTGGTCCTCTGTTTGCTCTCTGGGGCTCTGAGGGCACAGGGAGTCAGCGAGGTGCCTTTTGTGTGAGTTCAGGGGCACCTAAAATACCAGTTTTCTTCTTTCCACTTGTGATACGTCAGATAAAGCCTAAAATATTGCTGAGCTAACCATGGCATTGAGAGGCTTTAATGAGGCAGTGTTACCTATGTGGGGGAAGCTCCCAGAGAGTCATGAGTGTGTTTCTGGAGTTCCCAAATAATTTCGTTGTCATCTGTTTTTCAGTGGTTGAAGCAAAATTGTAAATAGTGACTGGCACATGTAGTTCCTGCTTGGTTTTGGTTTGTGGCTGGGGATAGTTGTGTGTCCACCTTTGTTTCAACAGTCCTTAACAGTGGAAGATCTGATGGGATCAACTCACTCCATTTGGAAAATTCACTTAATTTCTCTGCCCTAGAACTTAAGAGCAAATCAGTCAAGATTTTTCTTTTGCTTTGCACTTATAAGTTTGCATATATTGCACATCCTAAGCTGCTTTTTTTCATTTAGAACTTTTATTTTTTTTATTTTTTTTTTATTTACAGGACAGACTCCTTTAGGGGATTTGTTGATTACTGCTTACAGAAAATACCTCAGGAAAGGCCATCATCAACAGATTTGTTACGGGTAATTTATCAAATCTTTTCCAGAAATTTTGGGAAAATTCTGTTTGTCTACCAGGATAATTGTAAAGATGTCCTTTGAGATGATCAGAGGATTGAGGTCTTTATTAAAGATTTACAGATAGTGGCTGATTATTGAAAAGAATGTGGGTATTGGAGATGGGAAGACGCTGGATGACTTAGGATTGTCTCCTGTCCAGAGCAGGGTTGGTCTCTGTGGAATGCTCTGAGCTGTCCTGTCTTGTGGGGTTTTTAACAGACACAGATGAAGTTCAGGGGGGTTACCTGGAGCTTTTTTACCTCTGATAATACTGATGTGAGCATGATTAATTCTTAATCTGTTCATACCTTTTAGATATATATCTTTTAATGATCATTGTGCCTGATCTCTCAGAATATTCTGAGTTGGAAGGGACCCACAAGGATCATCAAATCCAGCTCTTAACTGAATGGCCCATACAGGGATCAAACCCACAACCTTGGTGTTATTAGCACTGTGCTCTAACCAGCTGAGCTCATCTCAGGGTCACTTCAACTCTTATTTTTGCTCTGTTGTAAATCATCCATTTGGGTCGTTCTAATCCTCTTTTTGTTTATTTTTTTTTTCTGTTGTTTTCTTCTTTTCCTACGTTCATGCATCACACTTCGCAGCTAAAAGCAGCACTGAGAGGATAGGCCAAGGCTAATTTCCTCCCCTAGTCAGGAACCACCAAACCCAAAAGTTGTTTATGTCCCTTTAATAGTTTCTATACTGTACCCAGTTAATTAAACTTGTTTTGAAAATAACTGAATCATTTTGGAAAGGGCCTATAAAGGTCCATAATTGCCAAGAGCCTGTGGGAGGGGGACTTGTGCTGGGAGTAACGTTTGCCAAGGTTTTGTCAGTGAATCATAAATCAGTTCCAGTTTAAGTCATTTGGTTTCAGTTTACCTGAGAAATTATAGGAACTGTTTGTAACTATTTTGTTGTCTGGTTCTGCTTGTAGCACGCTGACCAACTAATAGGTTTATGTTGTGGGTTTTGGAATGATTCATTCCTGTGGATTGGCAGCCTTGCTGCTCTCTAGGAACAGGCTGAGTTCATTGAAGGATGTGATTTCGTGAGTACCTCAGGTTGGAGTTTGTACAAACAATTAGAGCTGAGATCTGAGTCTGAAATCATGTATATTCAGTATTTTACTTGATTTTTGACTTCCACAGCAGGGCTTCCCTCCTGCAGGAGCTCTCCCAAAAGCTTCTTAGTTTATAAGACTCAGAATATTTTTGTCTTTTGAGGGCTTTTCACTTGTGTGCGATAAACAGAAATAAAGACAACTTTCATGGCCATATTTTCTTAAAGGAAACTGAGTTTTAAAAGATGTGTTTGAAAATTAACTCAGTTTCCATGCACTATCCTAGATGAAAATAGTCCAGTGACTGTAGTAACATCAACATGCAGTTAAAATATATAAAAAAAAAAATCAAAACCAAACAAACCACAACCAAAACCAATTTTACTGATAAATTATAAATTATAAAATGTGTTTTAAAATCTATTTTTTCCCTATTTTTCGTAACTTGCCTGACATTCCCAGGGGATTTGAGCTCTGATAGTCAACTTTTCCAGTCAACGTGCTTCCTGCCTTTAGACTGACGGCTTCTTCCTTTTTAGTCTGGGGTTTGTTGGTTTGGGGGTTTTTCTTGCAATTTGGAGAAAGTACAGAAATGAAGTCCTTTCAGCCATCTTTTCTTGGAGGTGCACAATACCCAGCAGAGGGGTGGCTGCATCTTTTTATATGTAATTTAGACAAATCAATCATAGAATCATAAAATATGTTGACTTGGAAGGGGCTCATCAGGATCATCAAGTCTAACTAATTTTATTTAGGCATTTTAATTTAGACAAAATCCATTTTATTCAGAATGCAACTAAGCAGTCACAAGTGTATTCTCCTTATGCAAGAACCTTTTGGTTTGGTTTTCTTTCCCTATGTGTCTGCCCTTTCCATGTGGTCACACTTTAATATCTGAGTGGACATACAGAATGGATTTAAGTTCAGGATCACCGTTCCAAATGCATTGCTGCTTTCTAAAAATGACCTACAATGAGATAAAAATGTGTTCTTTTTTTTTTTTTTTCTCTAATCATAAATAAGCTACAGATTGTTACTGTTCAAAATGGTGATTATCTGCGTTGAGGAGCAGAAATGATTCATTTTGTTTCTGTGTTAAATGATGTTTAGAACTTTTAGCTCTGATTCAAAAATAAACACCATCACTACAAGCAAAAAATGGATAGTGAAATGACTGACTGTCCCCATTAGCAAAACTCAAATGCACAACAGTTTGAATTCAATTAAAAACAAGAAATAAGCCTGTGGCATGATACTTCCCTTGTTTATTTACAAATCATTAAAAGATTATTAGCTCATCCTTTCAACTTTTTTGTTGAAGACTCCTGTTTTAAGGAGGACTGGGCTTTCATGTGGTGGTTATTCCAGCTCCAGATGGATGTTTTAGCTCTCGAGAACCTGAGCCCACAGCAGAGCTGTGAGGCCAAGCAGGCAAATGTGACCCTCCTGAGGATTTCCTTGCAGGTGGGTCCAGCTGTTGAGGCTCTGACAAAAGCCCCTTGTGGCACTTTCAATGTACAGTAGAGAACAATAGTTTTTTCCCCCAAGTTTCTTTTTTTTTAATGTAAATTTTTCTACAGACATGCAGAGGATGTTTGTGCCCTAAGGCCACCTCCCTGGGTACCTACTGAGCAACAGAGCCAGCTGTAGTGATACCATGTAGAATATTGGCAAGTACACCCAGACTGGCTGCTTTAGCCAAAGTTAGATGGGAAAGCTGGAGCTTTTCCTGCTCTATTGACAGTTGTACAGTTCAGGAGAACGTATCTGATAAATCAGGGAAGAGCCTTTAATCGTGTACTTATATACCATTAAAGAATTTATTAGGTCTGCCCTTCAGGAGTTGATAAAAACCCGATTTTATTTTAACTCTGGCTACAAGTGCTTTGGGTATAAATAAACCTTGCAGCCTTCCTACTGGTGTTATGTGCGAATTGGAGTAGATGGATGCAGGAGAAGTGTTTGCAAGGTAGTGTTGCAGAGTCAGGATTGATCCTTGTTTGTCCTTTTTGCACTTTGTTCCTTCTGAAGCCCTGAGTGCCTCTGAGGGTTGAAGTGGCACTGTCTTGTAGCTGCTTCAAGTGAACCCGCTCAGGAAGGGGCAAACCAACTGTGTAGCCTGGAGAGCTCAGAGAACCTGACCCTGGTCCAAGCTCAGTGTGTTTGGAGTCTGTCAGAAAGGGTGTTACCAATTACTGAGTATGAACAGACCAGTCAGTGAGCGGGAACTGTCACTTCAGGGCTCTCAGAAGCCCCCGTGTGCCTGTGCTCACGTCAAACATTCCGGTGTCACCTCAGGTGGTTTTTATTTCCTTCGATTTAGCACGACTTCGTCCGCCGGGACCGACCCCCCAGGGTGCTCATAGACCTCATCCAGAGGACAAAGGATGCAGTGAGGGAGCTGGATAACCTGCAGTACCGGAAAATGAAGAAAATCCTGTTCCAGGAGACAAGGAATGGCCCTCTGAACGAGTCTCAGGAGGAGGAGGAGGTACTTCTATTTTGTCACCCCATTTGCACTGTTCCAAGTAGTTTCAGGGCAAGCGAGATGTTCCTCTCCTTAAGGTGGCAGAACAAGCACAGCCTAGGTGAGGAATGTTGTTGGGATATGGTCTGGATCAGCAGAGAGGCAGGTTAGGATAAGGAGTGATAGGAGCCCTTACTGAGTGCTAGAGCTGCCAATAAATGCACATCTAAAACTTCGGGTTATTTCCAATGGTGGCCTTTCTTCTGGAAGCTTTAGGATGGAAAATCATTCAGAGGGAAGTTCTTTGCAAGAGGTGGTTACCAGACTGGGTGAAGGAGGCTCTTTGACAGCCCAAACTGTTCTTTCTCATCAGCACGGTCAAAACCACTCAGTGTAAATATTTTTTCAATTACCATAATTTTACTGTAAAGCCTATCATGAGCCGAGAAACAAATCACTGGATTAATAAAACTTATTTTTTAAAATTCTTTAATATTGAAGAAGAAAAAGGTTAAAAGTTAAAGGCATAAAACTCAGCTTCAGTTTAAATCTTGTAATAAACAACCCACTTAATCAGTGTACAATAATTGACCTTAACTGTGGAGAAGGAAACCAGTCATTTTTCAATTGATGAGCTTAGATGGAAATTAATGTCCCTTGGTGCAGGCACCTTGGATAAATAAATCCATGACTGGTTCTCACTGAAAAACATTGACAGACAAATTGATGTCTGTATTACTTTTGCTGCAGTGTAGTGAGGAAATAATACACAGAGAGGTGCCCAAGCTCAGAATATCTTCAGGGACTTGGTTTTGAGGTCAAACGTTCCTTTAAAGCTGAACTAGAGCTCTGGTTTAAGAAATGGGCACCTGGATGTCAGGTAGGAGAAGTTCAGGAGGGGGCACCAGCACTTAGTGCCTCTCCTTCCCTGAGATGGGGATGCACAAAAGGAGCAAGAGCAGCATCTGCTGTGATTAAAACTACCAAGTGCTGCTCCTGTTTTGACCTTCCAGCTTCCAGACCTGGAGCTCAGCTGGGGAGTGGGGGATTGTCAGACTTCTGCACTGAAACCTCCCAGGTTTCTCTCCCCATGCATGGCAAGATGTCAGGAGAATGACGGGGCAGGAAAAGTGCCAGGGAAGGGGTTTCCCACTTGGCTATTCAGCAGTTCCAAGCTCAGTAGGATACACAGCGGCAATAGTTGACTCGAAGATGTATCTCTTGTTCCTCCTGTCCCCGCTCCTCAAAAAACAGGGAAAAGAGCCCTTTTATCTCCAGGAATTCACACTCTGCATGTGCACAGCATGCTCTGCACTGCATCTGACCCCTGAGCCTGTGTCCCACTGGAGGAGGAGGTTGGATTTATTGCTCGTGTGTGTCACTAACTCAGCAGTGAAAGGAGAACAGCACGTGCTTCAGTTGCTGCCTAACTGGTTACAGAACCTGCTCCGCTGTGAATGCCACAAGACACCTCCTTGTTCTGCCTTCTGAGGTGGAAGAGGAGCCTTACAAGTCTTTAACACTCAAGGATACTACTAATGCTTTCCTCAGAGCTCTTACAGGAAGATTAAGGTCATTTGGAAGGTGTTGAAGCCAGGAAGCCAATGTTAAGGTTTCATTTGCAGTCCCATCTCTGTCCTTGGTGCATAGACACTCATTAATTACACAGCCATTGCTTCATCTCAGATGCTTCATTATGTTATTTCTCCTGCAACTTCATATAAGCATCCTGAAAATATTTCCATTCTCATGTTCTCTGTAAACCAGTATTATTTTGGATTTTAAGTGCTCTCATGCAGGTTCTGAATGATCTGCTGATTGCTTAAAAAATGATCCCACAATCAAAGACAAATCTGTCAGGTCTCAATTTTATCTTTCTGTCAGTCTCCAACAAAATGAGTTCACTGTTAATTGATTTGTAATATAATTCTCCCCAAGCTCCCTTCGGAGGCCAGAACAAACTGGGTGCAGCAGCAAGCTGTTCATTTTAGTGAGTCAAGGCTGTTTAAGACCAGGAGCTGAAGGATGTTCAGAGCTCTGTCCTCACTGTGAACTCCTTGCAAGCCTCTTCAGTGCCACTACTTAATTACAAAGGACTCCATGAATTCACTAAATCAGTCCAGACTAAGCACATGCTCTGGGATTACTGTACTCCTGTGAGTATGGAACAAGAAAAAAGGCTGCTAACTTCTGGGATTTGTCTGTAAAATCCAAAATATCTCCTACCTGAGGAATATTTATTTATTTATGTCTCAAATTTTAACCCCTGAAATAATCCAGGCTTTTCTGAGCCCACTGCTAGAATTCTTCATTCACCTTCACCTTGGCTGAAAACACAAGGTTCAAGGGGTTTTCAGCTTGACAAAATACAGTTGCTGAGTGCCTGGGACATGGAGGTTAAAACCTCTGCACCTGTGAAGCACCATGTAAAACTGATCAAATAGGAAAACCAGTGGGTTCATTGTCTTAACATATTTTCTGATTCAGGAAATGTGTTGGAGCAGCATTGTTTTAATTAGAACTTGGATTTGTTTTCCATTTAATTATGAGACTCCTTCCACCAGTCATCCAGTATGCCTGGATGTCTCCTATCAAGCCAAGAGCCATGCCCAACCTTACTGATACTTGGAAAAAACGGACTTGAAGCCTGAAGCATTAAGATTACCGGGGAAGAGGCAAAAGCTGCCTGCCCCATATAGATTATTGCACAACCCAAGCAGCCCCAAGAAATGCAGCTGGCAAAATAATGACCTTGAAGTCTGCAGAGTCACCTCTAAAACAGACCTTGGGCATTGCAGGCTCGTGCTGGGCAGGTGATCTCCTGCAGCGTCTGTAACTGATGCCCCTTGTTTTATAGGACAGTGAGCATGGATCAAACCTGAGTAGGAAGATGGACAGTCTGGGCAGCAACCATTCCATCCCCAGCATGTCTGTGAGCACGGGCAGCCAGAGCAGCAGTGTGAGCAGCATGCAGGAGGTCCTGGATGAGAGCAGCCCTGAGCTGGTCATGATGCATAGTGACGAGAGCACCATTAATTCCAGTTCCTCCGTTGTTCACAAGAAGGTATGTTCCTGGTGCTCTCCATGGCTTCCTGCAGTCCCTGTTGGCTCACCCGGTCTGTGTGCTCTGGTCTTGTGCTGAGCCATCTCTGCTGAGAGCAGGAGCTGGTGGTGGGCTTGCCACAGTCAAGTGCTGTGGGTTGTTTTTTTTTAATATAAAAGCATTTAAGTAACCTCTGAAAATAGAAAGAGGCTGCTGGTGAAAGAGCTGTCAGTGCCTAGGCAGGGTCACCCAGACTTGCTGCATGTGCCTCCTTGCCCGGCCCTGCATGTGCACTTCTCCATCTCTGCTTGGGGCATCAATCTTTGTCTCCTCGGGAATGACTGTTCTGTGTCCTGTGCTGTGCTGACAAGTGGTCACAGCAGCTCAGCTAACCCTTTACCAGTCACAGTGTGTGATTTAAAATCTGCTTGCACTTGGATTTCCCTCATGAGAAGTGGAAGTTTGCAGAACTTTGGACCCTGCCCACGAGGTATGTTTGGAGTCAAGTTCCACTCGATGCTTTTCTGCTCTTTTGCTGCATGCTGGGATCTGTTGCCTTTCGTTTTCTCAGTGCCAGATATCAAACTAAAGTTGTCTAGCTGTAAGTCAGCAGCTAATCTCAACTATTTGTTTGACTAAACCAGTTTTGGCTTGGCCTTAGCAGTGTCAATTGCTAGTGGGTAGCAAAATGTAGGTTGGTTGTGGGATTGCGTTTGCAAGGAACTTCAAAGTGTACGTTTTTGCTTTTTGCCAGAGGAGGTAAAACATTACAGCACTGTGAAAGCCATGAATTTCTTGTTTGTAAGGTTACAGGACAGCCTGGTTTTAACTAACTAAATGTTTGTAAGCAGTTTTTCCTCCTGAAATACAGTGTTTGTGTCACTGAATATTGAAGTGCCTGCAAAAGGGAGCTTTTGAGGCATTTTATCTTCAACAAGAGATAGCCTTACATAGTTAAACGTACTGGCAGATAAGCTGCACAGGTTTCAGGGGTTTACATCTTTCTGAAATACATTTGAAAGCACCTTTACAGAAGATTTTACTTTTACCTCTCTGAAAAAACTAGTGTTGGGTACCAAATGCCAGCCCAAGGAGAGCAGTGCCACTGGTGTGTGTTCTGGGTGGTTATAGTTGAAACTCTTATTTTGTGTAGGTTCAGAAATGTGTATTAACTTTAATTTCACATTGTTTACTACTGCATTAAAGTAGGAGTTTGAGGGGCTGATTTACACGTAGGTTATAATGTTACTGCTCAGTGTCATTACAGCTGATGAAAACAAAATGTGAGCAGCTCCCAGCAGACATAAATGGCATTTGTGAAAGGAGTGGAGTTCCTGCTTGTTTTAAGAATAATGTGATGTTTTATAATGGTTTTATGGCACTTCTAAAGTACAAATACTGGATTTCTGATGCTGTGAATTCAGTCCTCTTGGAATTCTGCATAGCTCTTCTCTTGAGATTAAGGCATTCAGTTAAGTAGGATGCACAAACATGACACCACATGGAAATTTTTACCTGGTTTGAAAAAACAGGGTGGTTTGCACACCTGTAACTGAATTATTGAAAAAAGAAATCACCTGTAGATCCCTTAACACAGGTGTTTTAGGGTAATTTTGGAAGCACAAAGCCCCGGCCTGCACTGATGGTCTTCACAGTTAACAATTGGCTGCATTTCCTGATCCTTGCAGCAGAGTAGATTCCTTCTCCATTGGAAAATGCTCCCCTCAGCTGGATGTATGCAGAAGGCAGATTCAGACTGTGTAGCAGGACGTATTCCAGCCTGAAAATATATTGTTTTAATTTAGCACATGATTTTTTATTCTCTGTTACTTTAGGGGAATGCAATTTTAAATGGAAAACTGCTTTATGTGTATATTATGTATATATTAATACACGTGAAGAGACTAAATTTGGAGCAGGACACTTCAGGGGACTTACATACACATATATCCCACTTTATTTTCAAGGTAAAATTCCTTGTTCTGACAAGACTTCGGTTTATCTTTGTGCTTTAACTGTGTTCCTGGGAGCTGGGATGGAGCTGAGGTGAAACAAGTGAGCCCCGAGTTGGGTATCACTCTGGAGCCCAGCACAAACCAAAGGGAAAGAACCTGGGGTTCAAGTTTAATTTGAGCTTTTGTTTTGCATTTAATCAGCCTCTAAAGGCTAAAAAGAAAATACTGATGAACACAATCAGCCAGCTGTCTGCATTATGTGGGCAATAGGGTCACAGACGAGGTGGTTTTGACATGAGTCAAATCAGAGGTGTTCTGTGAAACTATGGTATTCCACAAATGTGTTCATTAACAACCTCCAGATGTACCAGGCTGTGTAAAGGGACCAAGATGACAAAAAATGGCCTGGATTGCTGATATTTTCTAAGGCTCAAAGCTCTAAAGTGCGAGAGGCCTTTTAGGTTTTTTTGGACCACAGCCCCAGAAAATCGTGTGTAACTAAAATATAGGATGGTGGAAGAACCTGTGGTCTTATGTGGGATCCAGTTCCCAGCCTTGAGTGCTTCAGAGAGCCAGTCTGGAGTGGCCTTGACCTGGGGTAAATCAGGAGCAGACCATCAGCTGTGTGGTGCTTGGCTGGGTGAGGCTCCAGGCATCTCCACCGAGCCCTCCTGGCATCTCTGACCAGCTCCCCCGAGGCAGAGCGTAAGAAACAGGCTGATGTAGTAAAAAGCAGTTGTAAACAACTCATTTTCTTTCTTTTTTTTAACAGCTGCTAGTTGGCTGTAACTTCCAAAAATGTTTTGTGGTCACAGGGTAAGTGAAATGACCTGTTCTGATCTGGTTGATTTTCACTGGCTGTTCATGATGGCCAAGGTGCTTGGCTTTCTGCCTGGTGGAGAAGAGCATTTGGGGTAATTCCTCCATGGAAAACAGGCACAGCCTCACCCCTTCCACAGCACAAAAGCTTTGGGGCAGCAGTAGAGCTCCACGTTCTTAAACTTGGGCTTGGAGCAGAGGTGACTCCCACCTGTCGGCAGAGTACAGCTGGTAGGGTGGAAGAAAAATCACTGGACAGGAAGAAAACAACAATAACAGCAATAAGCCATAAGTGAATGTATAGCTTTTTATATAATTTAATTTGTATCTGTGCCCTAAACTCTTGGGAGGAAAAAAATGGCCGTAATATCTGCTACTCAGGCAGGAAAGCTGCATCCTCCCTTGCTGGGATGTCAGTCCATCCCTGGAATCTAAGCCTGCTCCCTCAGGATACCTTAATCACTAGCACATTCTTTACAGGAAATTACAGGAAATTCAGATGCCCAGCTTGAATGAGCTGTCCCCCTAGGAGTTTTTCCTTGCCCCCTTGCAGGTTTCAGATTGGTGACCGTGTACATCTCAGTGTAAGAGCTCTGGTGTTCTTAGGTCTCTCTTCTGAAGCCAGTTAAGTAACTCTGCTTCTCCATCCAAGGCTCATCCTCCCAATGGATACACATTCTCGTGTCCATCCCCTGTTGGGAGCTTGTTCAGCTGCACAGTTTGGGAGATGAAAAGTAAATGACACCTCTAATACAAACCCAGCTGTATCTGAGGTCCCCAAAAAGGGCAGGGAGTTGAATTCCAGTTAAACTGGGCTTCAAAGACATGTAATTCAGATTTTAAAAGCAGATAAATATCAGTTAATTCCTCTTAAAGATGAGGATAAAGAGTTTGGCTCCCAGAGTAAGACAATAAAATAAGAGTTATAGACATCAGTTGATGTATCAAATGTTTTGTCACCTGCTTTGTTCAGCTGCTCTTATATGGCAGTGTGGGCACAGGTGGCTTCCCAGAAATATTTTGTTGTCCTCAGTGAATTTATTATTATTTTATTTCCACAAAACTATAATATTAAAATGTTGTACTCTTTTAATCTAAATAAAAAGCCACTACAGTATTACTTTGTTCAACTGCAGTGCTCAGTTGTTGCTGGTTCTTGCTTCAGCCATAAAATCATCAGTACTTTCTGAAACTTGGGCAATAAAATGTCAGGCAAACCTTGTGATTAAAATCTGGTTTATAAGCAAAAGGTGTTAGCAGCTGATCATCACAAATTCTTGCCCGATGCCTGTAATAATAAGGTACCTCTGTAATAACTGCTGCAACTTGAATGACTTCCCAAATCCATCCAGTTCTCCTGTGCACGTTGCCTGTTGCTGCCATAATTAACGTGCAGCCTTCATGGAGAATTCCGTGCATGGAGAGTGCTCTGGTGGGGTGGCTCTACAAGAGTTACAGCTGAGGCAAAGCTGAGGCTGTTCTCCTGCATATCAAGATTTATGATTCATACTTGGAGAGGATGTTTTCTGGGAGATGTAAAGGATGTTTAGGTAATGACTTAGTTTTGGCTTGCATGTGCTTGGCAGCAGTGACCCCTCACATACCTTCTGGAATCCAGTCAAACTGGTTGGGGACATGAAGCCTCGTCTTGAAAGATTTTTGATACTTAAAACCTCTCTGTAGATTATCAAGGCATTTAGTGCAATGTGTTGAGATGAATGATGGCACACTGTTGTTTTCCTTGCTCTTTAAATTCCTAGAAGGCAGGGATTTGCTGCAATTCCATTAAAGTCCTTACTGTGGCTCGGAAATTGCCTTTCCTGTTTGTCTGGGAGACTGGCAGCCCTTCCAGTTAGTGAATCCTCCTGTGTAAACAGCGTTTGTGAAGGGTTTTATTTGGTGTGCATAACAAAAACCACTGTGTGCAAGTGACTCTTCCTTCTGAGGTGAAAGTGTAGCTGCTCTGGCTTTGGGCTGGTCCAGGATAGTCAGAGTTTGGATGATAAAGCCCTTTTTTAAGCGAGGGAGGTGAAAAGACAGTGTGTGGTAGAACTGGGATGGGCTCTAGGGAGTAAAATCCCGGCTCTTACTCTGCAGGGTGACCTTGGCAAGACTCGTGGTTTGAGCAGGAACTCTTGCATTGTGAGATGCTCAGACAGTACACCAGGAGCAGCTGTTCAGATACCAAGCTGGAAGCACCACTTAAGTAACTGGAAGCTCCACCAGCTCTGGTCACACAGTGCTGTAGAAATATTTGGGAGGCTTTTGTCCTGGCAAATATGATCTGCAATGTCAAAGCCAGCACCCAGCCAAATACCCCCATTTGTTGTGATCAGCCTGGAGACTGTTTAGGTGGATGACACGGTCAGAATAACAAATTATTCCTTCAGTAGGAAGTTGAAGGTTCCAGATTGTCGACCCTAAATAGAAGGATTTAATGTGAAATGTGATCTGAGTGTGCCCAAAGTTGCATCCTTAAGGCAAATATGGCAAAACCCACAGAAAACAACCGATGTGTTACTTTAAAAACAAACCAGGATCTGAAGTGCAGATTTGGGGCTGAGAGATACCCTGACCCAAACCTGATGAATTTCAGTCAGGTTTTGCTTACTGAGTACCTCGAGCTCAGGTGCCAGTTTTGGAGTCTTTGTTTGCCACAAATCTGGAGCTAAAAGTTTGAAACAAAATTTCCTGATCTGTGCCAAAACCTGAAAGGCAAAATGACTGCAGTGTCTCTTAGCAAGCTTTTGGCAAAAGAAAATAAAATTAAAAGAACGGAGATCTATTTTCTGGGTTTGCAGGTGGATGTTTGTCATAGTAGCCATCAGTCACACCATCTGAGGAAGGTGGAGATGTGGCTGCTCTTAGGTTTATTTCTCTTACTGGCTGTCTCTGTGGCAGTGTAACCTGTTAGACTTGGTAACTGTTTGTGCCAAGTGTTTTTGTTTCTGGTAGTGTGACAGCTTTTTCAGAAAAAAAATACTTATGCCACAGAATTTGTGTCACAGAATTTAGTCTGTGAAAGTTCCATGGGCTTAGCTGAGTTAGTAGTAGATGGTGCCTGATGCAGACTCCTCAAATCCCAGATTGGGAAGTGCCAGGGACAAACACTGAGTTTTTTGTGCCCTTGAAATTGGGCCTTTGGCTGGCTCAGTTGCAAAGGTATTTTCCCATTCTTTGCCCAGCTCAATTTGAAGTGGAGAATGTGGTTAATTCACATTCCTGGAGGGCAGTTAGCTTCTGCTCTGAGCTTCTTATTGCACTGAGGTGATGAGAATTCCCATAAAACAAGACCAGGGTGACACTCTCCCCTCTAAAAATCCACCTCTTCGATAACAGCTTTATTTTTTGGTGCGGTTGTTCCAGTTTCAGCCTGTAAAAAAAGTTCCCTTAGGCAGCTCACAGAATCATGGAATGGTTTGGGTTGGAAGGGACCTTGCCTGGCTGGGGGGCTGCTGTTCCAGCAGGCTCCAAAGCACATCAGTAGAAATATTCACCCAAAGGGTGATGTTGGTCAGCCTGACTGCTTTGGTTTATCCAGGGCATCCCTGATTGCCTTGCACAGAACCCTCCTTACACCTGCTATCAGCTACTGAGGTGGAAGTGCTGCAGAGCTGTGGAAAATTAGGGATTGATATCCTTCCAATGAAGCCACAGGTCTGGTTAAACTGATAGTTAAGACTTTAAATGTTTAATCACGTTTTTTGAGGGATGGCTGTTCTAGAGCCAAGATATGCCTTTCTCAGGAATGTGTGCAAGTCTGACAGCCCTGCCTGTCACACCAACGTGCCTGAACTGAAAATCAAAGACCAAGCCACCTGCCTTTCTGTCACTGGCCTCCCCTGTCAGACAGTGCCACAAATGTCCAGTGTAAGGGTGACCAATATAAAATGAAGCTGTGACTTTTTATTGCACTCCATGTTCCTACTGTTTCTATGGAATTTTTAACTGGTTTGGCTCATTCTGTGTCCTTGTGGCGGGTGTGGAGGAGCCAGTGCAGCCTTGGCTCGGGGGTGGCCTTGACCACTCTGCTCTCTGTGCAAGGCGAGGGGAAAGGTGAGCGTGGAGCAGGAACACTCAAAATGGAGGATGTGAGGAAAGGTTTGGGGTTTAAAACACTTTCAATTGATGTGTTGTTCAGCTCTTGATATCAGCATTTCTGTACCTGTTTGGGTTTTGCTTGAAACCATTTCCAGAATCCTGTTGAAAGGGGCTGAAGTTGTGTGGGTCTGGGTGAAGAGCAGATGGAAATTGAGGCCAGCAGAGAGGGAAACCGGGTGTCTGTGGAGTGGGAAAGGAGCATTGGGATAACAGCAGCGTCCTGGTGAAGATGCTGCTCCATGGTGGCTGGTTTCTCACCACTGGGCTGCTCCTGCTCACCTGCAAACACTTGGTGCTTGGAGCCAACTGTTCACTGCAAGGGGTGGTGTCTTTAGAGGCTCTGGCAGCCTTTATTTTGCACCCCTGACAGTTGGAAACTTGATTTAATTCAGGAAGAATCTCAGTCTTCTTTGGAAATGTTAGGAGCTGAGGGTTGAGGACGGGAGTCACAGAACTGTGGTGGGTGATGGTGTGGCAGGTGTGTCATCACCGCTGCCCTGCGGAGTGGATGCCGCTGTCCAGGCTTGGTGAGGGCAGTAGGATGTGCCTGGTGTCCCGAGGCTGCTCCATCCCAAAGGTGTAGCCTCAGGGCAGCCACCCCTGCGATTAGGAAAATTCTGGTGGTGTTTCTTGCTGGCCTTTCCGCCAAGGGTTTCTCCTGGAGCTTTGTTCCGTTGCCAAACCTGCCCGCTCCGTTTCGGGGAGGCACAGCCGCTCCCGGTGAAGCCTCGGCTCAGAGAGCAGGAGCGAGGCTGCACCGGGAACCATTCGTGCTAAAACCTGGGAGCTGTTGCTTTAAAAGGGAAAAAAAAAAAAAAAAAAAAAAAATCCTTTGTGGGCTGTGGAGAGAAAGTGCTAGAACTGTGCAGGATCATGACTGGAAAGCAGGATCCCTGAGTGGTCACGGAGGCTTTCCCGGTCCTCTCCAGCCTGCCGTGGATTTAGCCAGGATGCTTGTCCCCCACAGCAGATAGCAAACGAGGGACAAAGAAACCCTATCGAGGACAGACCGCTCGGCAAAGGGAATGAGGCAGGATGTTGCTCTTGTGTTAAAAGGGATCAGCATCTCCGTGCCTAGACATGGGAATCACGTTTTCACCAGGATCGCTGGGTTGCAGTGCTTGAACCCGACCTTCCCGAGGACTCCGATCGCTCTGCGCCGCCTCGCGCTCCCGAGCCGCTTTTTTTTTTTCGCACATATGTAATACTGGAGGTTTAAAAAAAAAAAAAAAAAAAAAAAAAAAAAAAGGAGAGAAAGAGAGAGAGAGGCAAGGCAGCCCGATCCAGGGATTCGGAGGCATCCCGCTAGCGATCAGCTGACGCGCCGAGCCGAGCTGCAATGTGTTGCTTATTCATTTTGTACGGTGGGAGCTGCCGGGAATAGCAGAGAGCTGAACTATGCCTCTCCTACAGCCGCGCTTGTGCAGACAGAGGGGTGAGAGAGAGGCAGCCGCCGCGGGAAGAGCACAGCCGGACTTTCTCCTTGTTTTTATCCATTTCTGCAGGATCATGTATTTATAAGGGATGAGGTGGGCCACAGGGATCGCAGGCCTGAGGTGCGGCCTACCCAGTCAGTGCAGAATCAGGCCCTCCACTACCGGAACCGAGAGCGCTTTGCCACAATCAAATCAGCATCTTTGGTAAGAGCCCCCCCACCCCACCCCATCCCACCCCACCCCAGCTCCGAGCCCCCATCGCCTTCCCTCTCCTCCCTGTGCTGTTGGTGGTGTTGGCATAGCAACTGGATATTGCACTGAAAGAGATTTTTACCTCTGTGTGTGTGTGAGAGAGAGAGAGATGTAAATGTGGAATATATTTAATTTCTCCGTGCATTTCCACTGTATGCGAGATAACCCACCTTCCTGGGTGAAGTTAATATCATTTCATCCCCCCCCCTCCATTTCCCACCTATCCCTTTTGTTAATATATTTATTTGCATGTGCATAAAGTGTGCTATGAGCTGTGTGAGAGGTGCTGAAACGCTGTGGAGGTGCAGATGCAGATGGGGTTTGGGAACAATAAGATCCCTGCTGCCCGCCTGAGCCGCTGCCTGTTTTTTCATTCATTCATTTATTTCCAGCAACTGTACCGTGACTGCATTTTCCAGCTTGATCCCTTGGAAGGATTGCTGGGCTGCGATAAGGGAGAGAGAGGGCTTACAGCGGGCTGTGGGCTTACAAAGGGGAGGGGGATGGGATGAATCCATCAAGATTTGTACTATTGCAAATGTGATTGCTGTGGATGCCTTTGTAGTAGGGAAAGGGGTGTGTGCCGGAAGAGTTAGTTGTGTGCCGCCTCCCCCACCTCGGGCTGCGGTCGGGGAACAGCCTTTTCGGGGGGGAAAGCGCTGAAAAATGGCCTTTCAGAGCTAAAATGAATGTCATATTAAATATTTCAGCCCGATGGTATTAGAGGTCAGATGGACGGGGAGCGTTAGGAAGTACCCACGGTCTGGCCATGGCACTTGCTCAGTGCTATGACATCATCCTGGACCAACCCCGAAATTACACCAGCGAGCCCTCCCCTTCCCGCTTCACCCTCCCTCCACCGTGGGGGTTCTCCTTCCATACCACCATTTCTTGATCCCCCAAATCCCTTCCCATTCCTGCCTGCAAAAACCAGCGTGTGAGTGTGTGTGTGTGTGACCACAGCAAAAGGTTGTGAGGGGAGGGGAAAAGCAGCAGCAGCAGTGCCAGCAGCCAAAATTTTCCTGTGTGATTGTTGCTGCTGCTGCTGCTGTTAAAATCTAAAATGATGCTGTGGCATTCCTGGGAGCATCCAAGTCCCATCCTTTGCAGGTGTTCTTTGGGGTACCCGCCCCCTGAGTGTTCACCAGGCCGGTGTCCCCTGCTCCCCTTTCCCTCCCTGCTCCCCCCCAGTGTAAAGAGTGACCTAGAAATGTGTGTATTAAAGGACTTCATGCAGCACACCTGACACAGGCAATGATTCCTGGTCTCCTGGAGACCCTCTGCCCTGGGAATTTGTCCCTTTTTGTGTGTGTGGGTTTGCACCCAGGGTAGTGCCAGCACTATTGCCTGCACTGAGCAGATAAAAGTAGGACCCAGTTAGGTTGGCTGGAGGGAAGAAATGATGAATGACTCAAGTATCATACTCCAAACATACATACAATTTCATTGATAAATTGATATGTGTGTTGAACATATTCCTATTCTTTTACTCCCTGTGGAAAACTACTGCACCTTCTGTCCTACCTGAGCAGCAGAGTCCATAACTCCTGTCTTCCCTGAATATGTCACCCCTGGGCTACTTGGGTGGCTTGAAGGGATTGCATGATCAGGTCCCTTCGGGGAATTAATGGAAGTATGGACAGTGAGGTATTCCCAGACCTCTGGGGAAGACAGCTCATGTCCCAAGGTCACTCCTTAAATCCCATGGCAGCCTCCTGTGGGGCTGGGACTGTGTCTGCCTTAATTCCTTAGTCACTTGGATTTGCTAAATCTCTCTGCTTCGGTGACCAGGTGATGATAAAGATAAAATTAATCCTGGGTGGGGAAGATGGTTGGCTTTTTGGAAAACTTCTCTTTTTTTTTTTTTTTTGTGGAACATGCTCTGGCAGGGACCATGTCTGGGCTCCCATGGGGAGAGCTTTGGGTGCACACCTCAGGTGGGCAGTACCTGCACAGCACAGAGTCTTTGGGGGAATGGGAATCACACTCATTAGCTCTTAAATTGGCCAGCAGGCCTTTGGAAAAGCACATGGAATTATGTGTCTTGCAGAAGCTCTCCTGTCCCCACCATATACACACACGTATCCCCTTCCCAGTGTAGAGAGGAGTTCCCAACCTTGGTGCTCCAGGAAGTGTTGGAGTGTCCTCAGGTTCTGGGGTTTCATGGCTGGGGGAGGAGTTTCCCTGTGTTTACCACAGAAATATTTCCTCGTGATGAGCTTTCCCTTTAATAATCTTGCATTCCCACCTCTTCACGTTCCAGAATGGAAATCCAGAGGTGGGGGGAAAAAAAAACCCCAAGTTTAAACCCACTGCACAGAACCTGAGTGCCAGTGCTTGTGTCTGAGGTGCCCACGTGGTGTCAGAACACTTTTATGTCTCTGTGGGTTCAGTCACCACTCAGTGCCTGGGTGATGTCAGTGGGCAGTGGTGCCCAAAGCTGCTGCTCCTCTGGCCAAGGGAAAACTTCTGCCAGCCTTCCTGTCTCCAGCTGAAATATCTATGGAAAGGGCAGGGTCAGTCATGGAGCCGATACAGGGAGAATGACCGAAACAGGTGAGGAATTTACAGCAAGAATCAGAAATTCAGGCTTTATTCATCTCTCCGTGTTAATTTACTCTTTCAATGGCGACTGGAAAAGATTATTCCTGTGTGAATGAGTGTTCAAGATCCCCATAGTGTTTTAAAAACAAGCTTTGATGGTTCCCTGCATCCTTGCTGCTGCCCATCAGTGGGTTTCTCAGCAGCTGGGAACACCTTCCCAGGCACAGGAAGGTTGTGCAGTTGGGAGCATCAGGTGGCTTGTGTTGCAGAGAGTCAGAAAATGGGAATTCTGACCCCCAATTCAATAGCATGGGGTGGTGTTTGGGTGTAAAAACTTCTTTTTATGGGATTTGCTGAACACCACCCTCCAACATGAAAGCAGGGCAGTGGGACAGAAGAAAAGCACCAAGTCTGGGGGCTGTTCACTCCTCAGCTGTTTCTGGCAGTGCAGTCCAGGGTCTGGGGGCCTCAAGTCCTTGTTATTCACCCTTAGATCAGGATACTGCAGGTGGAGGGAAGACTGGCATTCCTGAAAGGAAGCTGGATCTCTTTCCGAAAACAGGCTCAAGGAGTTTCAGCTAGTGCAGGGGTCACAGGAGAGCTCACATGAGGCAGCTGAACACTCCAGATGACCCAGTGATCTTCAGGGTGATTCCCCTGCCCTGTTACTCTGCAGAAGCATCATGTGAATAAGAAGCAAACTAGACAGACTTCCAGAGAAAACAGTGAAATGAACTGTCCCCAGAGAAACAGGCTGTGAATGTACCTTTCTGATCTTTCAGGAGTGCCTTGATATTACTCAGGTTAAAGAAAAAGAATGAGCAAATGTGGGTAAGAAAATTGAAGGAGCTTAACTTTGGTCATAATTCAGTCATCAATTTTAATAATAATTTTTTCCTGAACCACTTTTCTCTTTAATCATTTTTTTTGTGGTAACAGTAACCATCACTCACTTGGAACAGTGGTGGAAAATACCCTGCATATTTCTGCTGTTGCAGGGAAAGTTGCCATCTGAAATGGAGATCAGGTACCTACCACATCTCCATGTTATTTTGCAGAGTATCAGTGATCCATAAATTAAAAGTTACAACTAGAAATATAAGCCTTGAAGCTCAGCAAGCTTGTGTTTAAAAAGAAGGGCAGAGGTTCTGCATGTTGATAAGACTACACATATCCATATCTTCAAGTGAAAGTTGTTTTTTAAATGTGTTCAGAGATGCATTGATCTGCACTTCTGGATGTCTTTCAAGTTTGACCCCTTAAATCCCCACTTCCTCCTGCATCTCCTCAAAAGCTGCTTTTACAGTTCTCAAATTAAATGATCAAACAGTTCAAACTTCATGAAGTCATCACGGAATCACAGGATGGTTTGGGTGGGAAGGGACCTTCAAGCTCATCTCATTCCAGCCCCTGCCATGGGCTGGGACACCTTCCACCAGCCCAGGTTGCCCCAAGCCCATTCCAACCTGTCCTTGGACACTTCCAGGGATGTGGCAGTCACAGTTTCTCTGGGCAACCTGTGCCAGGGCCTCCCCACCCTCCCAGGGAAGGATTTCTTCCTGACATCTATGATTCCTTAATCTCATAAAAGATCAGACTGTGTAGACTCTGTTTCAAAGGCCTTGGCTTTCTCTTTGAAATCCAAATGCCAGCAAAAGAAGGATGTGATCTCCAGGCTCTGCAGAGCCAAATGTCCATGTCCATGTGAGCAGGATTCCATGGATGTAGCCAGGAAAGGGCAGCTTGGCTCCCAAACCAGGTACCTTCACACAAAGCTGTTCTCTTGGACCTTCTTCTGCTGAAGCAATGACTTCTTACTCCAGAGGGCTGAGTTTCTCCCCATGGACTCATCAGGCTGCTGCCTTGGGACACCTTTGCCCTAAAATTTTTGAACTTGTTCTTTCTTGTCTCCAAGTTCTTCTCTTGCTCTGAGAAGCTGCTGGTGGAGTCTTGCTCAGTGCTCTGCTTCATCCAGCACAGAGGAGCTCAGTATTTTGGTTATCAAGAGGTGAGAGTAACTGTCCTTTGGGAAAGGGCTCAGTGTCTTGGTTAAACAATGTAGGAAAAGAAACTCTGAACAGCTGCTGGTTTGGAGGAGAAGTTGTGAACTCAACTCCATTATGTAAAGCAAAAATCTTGGAGGGGTGAAAGAGAGAAAGTTTGGATTTTATGGCAAGTGAACTGCCTGTGGGAGTAGGTTGGAAAAGACATCTCTCTTCTCAGTTCTGTGTGTGCCAAAGATACAGAGAGATAAGAAACTGAGAAAATGTCATACCTTAATAAAAGCTGTTCTGGTTCATACAGGTTTTTGGTTCTGCTGATGACCTGATTGATTATTGTGTGCTGCAGAGAGAGCTCCAGGAAACTGCAGCTTTCTGCTGGGAAGGATCCTGACATTTTCTGGTTATGTGCAGAACAGATTTGGCAATGAGCAGTTCAGTTGTCATCTTTTTCCCCATCCTAATCCATGTTTGGGGGCAGCACCAACCTCTGCTCACTGTGACCAGGGACAGGACCCAGGGAGCTTTAGGCTGGAGCTGTGGAGGTTTAGGTTGGATCTTGGGAAAAGGTTTTCCCCAGAGGGTGGTTGGCACTGAACAGGCTCCCCAGGGAATGGTCACAGCCCCAAGGCTGCCAGAGCTCAAGCAGCATTTGGACAACACTCTCAGGGACAGGGGGGATTGTTGGGGTGTCTGTGCAGGCCCAGGGGTTGGGTTTTGATGACCCTTGTGGGTCCCTTCCAGCTCAGGATATTCTAAATAGTTCGTGGAGTTGCAAGTGTCGTTGTCTGAGAACACCAGAAAGGTGATTACTGGAACATCCCCAAATTTCCTTTTTAAAATGGTTGCTGGAGCTGTTCATTCATTAGGGGCTTAATCTTTGAAGCCATAATCCTTTATTCATTCATGCTTAGTCTGAAGGACTTCCCTGGTGCTGAACTGGGCACGTTCAGTAACCGATGTTCATCCCTTCCAAATTCACCCATCCCTGAGATCACCATGTGCAGACTTGGTCTATGAAGTCAGAGTCCTGAAGAGCACTGGGTTTGACTGGAGATTATGGTGATGATTTAAGTCTATCATGAACATCTGAATGCCCCAATTTATTTAATCTATGAGATGACCACCAAGTCTTCTGTTCTCCTCTCTCATCTTCAGGAATGAAAAAGCTGCTGTTTGTTTTCTTCTGACTTTTTAATGTCTCATCTTCTGGAAGACCTTGTCAGCTAAGCTTATAGTTAGGAATTGCATCCTATTGTAAGGGATAAATATCCCAGACTTAATGGGAAATCTTTCCAAGGTGGAATTCCTGTCATGATAAAGCTGAGCAAAACTGGAAATGGGGTGGTGGTGGGGGGGAAAGGATAAAATTAATTACTTTTGCTGTAAATAAAACAAGTGCATGTTCTGCGTCTCATTGGAGATGGCACCAAAGGGGAGACTGGCAAAGTTCTTAGAGGATTCCTAGATCCATTTTTCTCTTCTGCTCTTGCTGTTTGCTTTGTTCTGCCAACTCCTGGGAACGGAGTGTGCCGTGCAGAACGTCCCACTGCTCACAAAAGGGCTGGGCCTCCAAAATAGCACATCCAGGAAGATCTTGTGCTGCTGCCTGGAGGTTCCCATGTCTCTGGGTCTTTGCAACTGCCTGACCGAGTCTGTTCTCCCCAGGCTGGATGTCATTTGACGTGGTAAATGGCATGTGTGAAGTGTGTGTGTTTGCTTGTCTTACCTGGTGTCTCTCTCTTATAATTAACTTGGATGGCTTCTCAGAGGAACTCTCCTTACCTGGAAGCTTCTGGGACAGATCTCACTCTTGACTTACTTGACTGGAGTGTGTCAGTTCCTACAAACACTTCCCAGCTTGTGCAAAGCGTGGCTGTCCTTGGTACACTTGGAAAAGACCAAGAGCTTTCTGTACTCTTGGAACGCACGGGGCTTCCGTGATCATTCCTGCAATCTCACATGCTCCTGCTGGCTGGCTGAGACCTGTTCAGTCACCTCGTCCCAAGCATTTGAAGGCTGCTCTGTTACACCAGTTGCTGAGGTGTAAGGGTATATTTAATCAAGTCAACTTCAAAAACACACCCTGAAATTCCTTGCACAAGGAGGATGTGATTTACACATCATCTCTTACCTTGTGGTGGATGCTTGACCTCACTAATCCACCATCATCCCTGCTCTGACACGGTGCTCTAGTCAGGCTGGTTCTTTGGTTTCTTTGCCACCAGACATTTCCTTTTCCCTCTGGGGTTGTCTTTGGAAGGGATGGGGGGAGACAGAGGCCATCCCCTTCCACACCTTCATCCTTTCACATCTCATTTCTCTCCCGGGACTCTGGCAGTGGTTTTCTTGGTTGGCACCTGTTTGCTGTAAATTGCTGTTAATGTGTTCCAAGGTTGAAGGCTTTGGGAGGCTCTTCCTGAGCTCCTCTTCACACTCCTCCCAAGTGCTGGGAGTCATTTGAGCTGAGAGAGGTGGCACAAGCTGCCTGCTTTGGGTGACATCAGTTGGGGTGTTAATCTTGCCTGGTGATTTCAGAGCTTCTTACTCGATCAAGGCTTCCTGTCACCTCCTGGTCCCGGAGCACAGGGCTGCCAGCAAGTGCACTGGGTTTGCTGCTCTGCAAAGCATCTCCTCTTCTGTTGAACCTGACCCTTCTCAGGTCTGTAGGTACATCCCATCCTGTGTCTGAGCTTCGAAAATCCTTGAAAAACTGCCTTCAAATGACAGCAGCCCTGTTGTAGAGGCCAGTTTTTTGGGCCGCTCTGGAGGAATCCATCAGCAAGGCTGGGCCCTTGCAGGCTGCAGGAAGGGCTCTTGGTTTGTAGAGTGTCACTGATCACCTTCAAAGGGCTTTTTGCTTCACACTTGAGCACAAAAGCAGAGATCCCCTCGCACAGAATCAGGGGCTCCAGTTTTGGCTCCTAGGTCATCAAAAGGTTTAGCAGATTTTTATATGTGACGTTCCTGAGACTGTCTTTAAAAAAAATAAAAATCATTCTTAGACACTTTGCTTTTTTTGAAATGGAAGCATCACCATTTGCATTTTTGTCTGAACATTTTTGGCACGACTTACTGCGTGGTTTTTTTTTTTTCCCCCTTCCTTTCACATGGATACACTTGGGCATGGAAATGAATGTGGAACTTGTGAGTTTGTTTCAGCTGAGCAGGGTTTAAAATCTGCTTAGACCATCTGATCAATCTTGTTAAGAGCACACAGTTCCAGAACAGCGTTCCCTTGTTAGAAAACTTTCAATTCTGGGAGGGAATGAGCTCAGTCTGCCATCCTCTTGAATTTTAAGGAGAAATTTTGAAGGAGGCTACTCATAGCAGGAACTGAATTGGCATTGGGGCATTACTTGAGGAGGAAGGAAAGAGTGGGTGGGTTGAGGGGGGTTCTGAAAATGAATCCCATCTTGTAAGTCTATGTCTCCCTCAGGACTTAAGGCCTTTGTCTGAAAAAAGTTATCCCCTGTGTCTGAAGAAGGTTGTCCATCAGCCACCTTTGTTTACAGATCTCATCCAGGGTTTCCTGGAGTGATAAATAACCAATAACTTCCTTTATTTGTAACATGGCATTTTCTGCTGCATTACTGAAAACACACATAAAAGTCTCAGGAAAATGTGGGGGGCTAAAAATCAGGAGGGAGAAACCTTATGGCTCTGTGACATTAAACAGCAGCACCTCTGAAACCCGGAGCAGCATTCCCTGAAAGGTGATCTCTGAGAGGACAGCAAAGCAGGGCCTGGGTTACAGGTAAGCTCCAGCATGGAGACAGCTTGCCTGTGAAAGGAAGGTCATGCAGCGCTTCTTCCCCTCTCCCTGACATCAGGTTACAAGACAGATCCATGAGCATGAGCAGGAGAACGAGTTGCGGGAACAGATGTCAGGATATAAGCGGATGCGGCGCCAGCACCAGAAGCAGCTGATCGCCCTGGAAAACAAGTTGAAGGCCGAGATGGACGAGCACCGCCTCAAGCTGCAGAAGGAGGTGGAGACACACGCCAACAACTCGTCCATTGAGCTGGAGAAGCTGGCCAAGAAGCAAGTGGCTGTGATGGAGAAGGAGGTGAGTGAGGCTGGAGGGAGAGGTGAGTCCAGGGAAGAGAAGGTTGTGGGAGTTGCTGCTTCAACAGACCACATGCTCTGTGTGGTCACTGTCCAGAGCTGCCCTGGCCAGTTTGGTGAACCAACCTCAAGTCATCCTTCTGGATGATGGGCAGCTCCATTGGCATCCACCAGTACCACAGCCAGTGACAGCTGGACAAGAGGGACTGGAGATCCTTGTGGGGACCTTGTAGGAGCTTTGCCTCGTGGCTGAGGGGATGACAAACCTTTCTGCTGCTCCTCACTCTGCTTAAAAATCAACATGTTAATCCACGTGGTAAATTAGTGGGGTGGTGCCTCCTGGGGTGGTTTTGGTGGGGAGATAAGAAGCACAAGGAAACTCCTACATTTATGTGGACATCATGGATTTTCAGTGCAAGCAGTTCTCCTGTGGCTGAATGCTCATGGCTTTGTTTAGCACAGTGAGGGAGGCATGACCAAAAAACACAGCACAAGACTGATCTGTGCTGGATTCTGTACCTACTCACTCACCCTTTGTTTCTCGACCATTTTTTTCCTCTCTGTACCTTGCAGGCAAAGGCAGCTGCAGCAGATGAAAAGAAATTCCAGCAACAGATTTTGGCTCAGCAAAAGAAAGACCTGGCGACCTTTTTAGAAAGTCAGAAGAAACAATACAAGCTTTGCAAGGAAAAGATTAAAGAGGCAAGAAACCCTCATTTTCAGGGCTGAAGGGGTTGTGGAATGAACACAAGCCAGTGTTTCATTTTGATAAACTTGGGCCAGCCCAGGGGTTTAAGGGATACTGTCAGGCTTGGAAGCAAATTTAGATGCTCAGCAAATAAAATTTCAGGAGCTGGGAGCATCTGGCAGCATTTCCAGAAGAATCTCTGAGGGTGCTAGAGGTGCCTTCATAATTTACTGTTGAGCAGAATCTTTGAAACCAAGGGTGATGATGGAAAATGGGACTTCACAGAGAAGTGAATTCTTCTTGTCCTTCCTCCTCACCTGTTTTGGTTTTATTTAAGGTGTAACTAATCAGAGCAGTCATTCAGTGTCCCTCGACTAAAAGCCCTATGATCACTTATATGAATTAGAAAAAGAAATACATATAAAAATATAGTATATGGTTGTTCTACGCCAAAGTACATTATTTAAGTACAGTGTCCCCACCACTCTGCAAAAATAATTTGCTGTTAAGAATGTAAAGGTGATAAAATTACTAGCAAGGAGCCCTGTTATGTGATTTATAGAGAACCAGGCATGAGACCTCTTGAAGTAAAACTTTAGGCCCAGGCTGGACTCTTTGTAAAAAAGGCACAGAGCTGGGAAGGGATCTGAGGGGTTTGCCCTGGCCTCCCTCCTGAGCATCCAGAGCCTCCCCTGCAGTGGTGTGTTACTCTCTTTCTGCTCTGTGCTGTTCACCCTCCAAAATGTTTGTGTTTAGTGGCTAATTTTCCTCCCCTTGGTGTGGCTCATAACTCAACTCTGGAGGCAGCAGGGTTGGGCGTGGCCGGGTGATGGGGCTGGTTCTGCTGGCACCTTGTGTTGTTAGCAGGATTTGGGGGCCCTGAATGGCAGGAGAGTGGCCAGTGACTCCTCCAAGCCCTGTGTGACCGTGATCCTGAGGGAAACCTTGTTTTGTCCCGCAGGAAATGAACGAGGACCACAGCACGCCCAAGAAAGAGAAGCAAGAAAGAATATCCAAACATAAAGAGAACCTGCAGCACACACAGGCTGAAGAGGAGGCCCAACTTCTCAGCCAGCAGAGACTCTACTACGACAAAAACTGCCGTTCCTTCAAGAGAAAAACGATGATCAAGAGGCACGAGATGGAGCAGCAGAACATTCGGGAAGTATGGCACTCCTCACTTCCTTTCCAAGCATTTCTTTAGCTGCTTTAGCTCCATGTCCCTAGAACAGCTGCTGACTGAGGTTAGATCTTCATGTTTCCAGTTGCACAATAGAACTGGGAAAAAGGTGGGGGAAAAGTTGTGGGGGAGAGTGCTCCACACAGCTGTGGCTGCTTTGATTAGCTGAGGAGGGGTGGCATCGTTGACTGGCAGACAGAAACATGATGTGGGACACCCACCCTGGGCCAGATGCCCCATCTGAGCTCCCAGGTGCTGGATTTTGGGGGATCCTTTGGGCTGCCTTCCCAGCACAGGGCAGTTCGTGCCACAGAGAGCTGTGGGATGGGGCAGTACTTTGTTAAGAAGGAGCTATTCCCATCCTGCTTTCCCTCATTAGTTACTGCCTGTGGTCAAATACCACTTTAGGGAAGGAGTTACTACGTGTAGGTTTTTCTGTGGCCGTCACTCTAGTACCTGAATTCTTCATTATTGTTATTTTTGGATGAAGACTATCAAATAAGAGGGTATTTTAGTGAAGACTGAGTGAGGAGTGGTCAAAAATTTCTAATTGCACTTGGCCTGCTACCATCCCATTTTCCAGAATACTTCTCACTTGTTCAGAGCTTTGCCGCCCTCGACTTCAGATGTGCCTGGGGCTGCTCAGCTGCTTTGCAAATCACATCCAGACATCTCAACTCAGGCACACTGAAAATGAATGACTGTGAAAAATCAGATTTGGGCACCCTTATCACAGCATGTGAGAGCTCCGTGGCAGGGATGAGAACAGAGTCCCGTTACCTAGTGTGGCATTTAACCAGGGAACACGCCCCTGAGCTCCTGCATTTAAGCTCTTAAGAGAGACCTAATAATTTTCAGAATGATCTGATGGTTTATTTCCTGAAAATTAAATCCCTGCTAACTACTTCAAATGCACTGGATCAGACACCTGAAGTAAATAACACTCTCAGAATGTGGTTTCCATGATATTTTAAGTAACTGCAGAAGTTCTTTCTGTGCAAGTGGGACAGTGTTTGAGAGAAGTGCAGTGACTGTGTGTGTTCATGCCATGTGAACTGCAGTCAGGTGTGGGATGGGCTCGAGAGAGGCTGAGCTGTCCTGAGATGAAGACAAACAAGCCACAGCCTGTTCAGTGTCCCAGCTGCCTTTGTGCCGTTGGGAAATGATCTCAGTTTTAATCTTGACTGTCGGGGAAAAATTTTTCTTAAATGTAAAGATGTGCAACACCCTTGTGGCCAAGAAGGCAGAGACAAGCCCAGGCCCCGTTTCCTTGCCCATCCTCTCAGCTCAAACCTGTCCCAGTTGTAGCAGCCAGAGGGGCTGAAGTGCCTGTTTGCAGGTGCTGCTGTTGAGAGATACGACAGGATTACAACGTGTGAGCAACAGCTCAGAATAATTAGATTTTTTTTTTTTTTTTGCTTCTCCTGCAGCAACTCGTTAGGCTGAGGCAGCACTGGGCCCTCCCCAGACCAGGCACTGTGTGTAGTGCAGGGCAGCCCCGCTGGGCCTGTCTTACTCCAGCGTGGAGCAGGGAGGCTGCAAACCTGAGGGCTGGATCTGGGGTTACCAGCAGACCATCTGTGAAGGGCACCAAGGATCAGCAAGGGGTACAGCTGGAATCACAGCTCCACTGAGCTGGAGTCAGCTCCGTGCTCCACAAGTTGTGGGTGATGCACTGAGACAGAAATAGGGGCAGTAATCAAGGAGGGAACTGGTGCCTCCCCCTTCCTTGGCTTGTAGCTCAGTGTGGGTTATCCTGGGCCTTGCAGGGCTCTTAGTGCACACTGTGAAACCCTGTGAGCCTTGGGCTCTGCCCTCAGTTTAAAAATGTGCTGCACCTTGGGCCAAAACCCACCTGGACAACTCTTTTTCTCACCTGAGGTGGTGTTGGAGCCATTCCCCGCTGCTTTGGCCATTCTCCTGCAAGTGATCTGGGAGAAGCCTCATTGCCAGTGCCAAGCAGAAGTACAAGGGAATTTAAACCAGACAACAGGAGTCCTCACTTCTGTCAGTGCCGCCAGCCCTGAGTTGTATTTATTAAAAGCTGCTGCGATTCTCAGCAGTCACAGAGGGCTTGTGTGGGGTCCCAGTGCCACCTGCTGGGGACTCCTGGGGCCATCCCAGAGCTGATGGATGGATGGATGGTTGGATGGATGGATGGAGGTCACTGTTAGCATCCCCACGGTGCTGCTGGGTTTGTGTTTCCCTGTGACACACGAAGTCCTCGGTGTCGTGTGGACGAGTGACCGGGACACTCGGCCTTGTGACCTCGACCGCGGCATCTCCGGGTGGAGAAGCTGTCCCTGCTGAGCCCTTCCCTGTGCTCTGGTGCAGGAGCTGAACAAGAAGCGGACGCAGAAGGAGATGGAGCACGCGATGCTGATCCGGCACGACGAGTCCACGCGCGAGCTGGAGTACCGGCAGCTGCACACGCTGCAGAAGCTGCGCATGGACCTGATCCGGCTGCAGCACCAGACTGAGCTCGAGAACCAGCTGGAATACAACAAGCGGCGGGAGCGGGAGCTGCACAGGAAGCATTTCATGGAGCTCCGGCAGCAACCAAAGAACCTGAAGGTGCTGGCAGCTTTCCTTCCTCCTCCTCCTCCTGCCTCTGTCCTGCTGGGCAGGCTGGGCTGTGCTTGGCTGCCTCATCCGCACTGTGGGACCGCTGCTCTCCCTTGCATCCCTTCCCTTTGCACGAGGCTGCTCTGGGTGAGGGAGTTGTGGGCTGTGACAGCACAGAGCTCAGGGAGGGTTTTTTAGGTGCTGTGCTAATTGAGGCTGCTGGGTAAAAATAGTCCAGCCCTGAGCAAAGTGTTACAGAATTCGCTTCTGATGAGCTGTGCTTTGTTCAGGCTCGCTGGTGTCAGCCTGGAAACCTCGATATGGAGAGGGGTTGGGTGGTGCTTTCAGAGGAGAGGGGACATGGGTGTGCTGAGCACTGTGCACTGCCCCAGTTCGGCTGCAGGTTGGTCACAGACCTCTGAGCTGCTCCCTGTAGGAGAGGCCTCTTCCTCCTCCCAGTGTCATGGAATCATAGAATATCCTGAGCTGGAAGGGACCCACAAGGATCATCCAGTCCAACTCTTGGCCCTGCCCAGGACACCCCAACAATCCCACCCTGTCCCTCAGAGCGTTGTCCAAACACTCCTGGAGCTCTGGCAGCCTTGGGGCCATGACCACTGCCCTGGGGAGCCTGTTCAGTGCCAACCACCCTCTGGGGGAAGAACCTTTTCCTAGTATCCATCCTAACCTCCCCTGGCACAGCTCCAGCTGTTCCCTTGGATCCTGTCACCAGTCTCCAGGGAGAAGGCATGTTTCTGTCACTCTGTCACACCCTTGCTAGTTCTCAGATCTGCAGCTTCCTCACAGTTGAAGTGGGGAAGTGGCAGAATGGGAAGGAGGCTGTGAAAAGGCAAATGTATTTTGGGAGGCAGGCAGCAGGTGCTGGGCTGGGTGACCTGCAGGAAGCAGGAGTGGAGGACAGAAGTGCCCTGGGCTGGGGAGGGCTGAGCAGGGCCTGTTCCTGGCCCAGCCAGGGCCTGAGCTGGTGCTCCTGCTGAGGTCCCTGTGTGAAGCACACCCTGCTCACGGGGTGCAGGTGACAGCACAGAGCACAGGGGAGCTGTTGTTCTCACCAGCCCACCCATGTGGATGTACCATAACCTCTCCTTCCCCAAAGCTCTTCGTGCCCCTCACATCGCTCCTTCCTTGGCAGGCTATGGAAATGCAGATCAAAAAGCAGTTCCAGGACACATGCAAAGTGCAAACTAAGCAGTACAAAGCACTGAAGAATCACCAGCTGGAAGTAACTCCAAAGAGTGAGCACAAGACAATTCTGAAGAGCCTGAAGGACGAGCAGACGCGGAAGCTCGCCATCCTGGCCGAGCAGTACGAGCAGAGCATCAACGAGATGATGGCCTCGCAGGCGGTACGTGGGTGTCCCTGGGCAGGGGGCTGGGAGGGGGGAACAGTTGGGCTGTCAGGCCTCACAGCAGGCTGAGATGGTTTTCTCCAGCCACTGGATGGTTGTGTTTAGAAGAGCTGTTTAAATAAAGCAGCAGGTGGCACTTTTTCCCTCTTGGAATAAGGATCCCGCGGAATGCGCATCCTTTACCTGCTGCCCCTCCTGTGCTCTTCCCTGAGGCTCTGCCTCTGTGAGTGGGGAAGCTGCTCTTTGTGATTTTCCCACCACCAGAGGCTCCTGGCTTTGGGAAAGAAGAGCAGCGTGCCAGTAGCGTCGGAGCAGAGGAATTACCAGTGGAGGTCTGAGTGTTGTTTTCCCGATGTCCTTACAGCTACGGCTGGACGAGGCCCAGGAAGCAGAATGCCAAGCCCTGAGACTGCAACTCCAGCAGGAGATGGAGCTGCTCAACGCGTACCAGAGCAAAATTAAGATGCAGACAGAAGCACAGCACGAAAGGGAACTCCAGAAGCTGGAGCAACGGGTGTCGCTGCGCAGGGCACACCTGGAACAAAAGGTACGTTCCCGGGGGAGGCTGCAGGGGGGTCCCTGGAGCTCGGCCGGGACACGGGGCTGGGGCAGGGGTGCTGTGCTGGGGGGCTGCTGACCCTGCTCGTTTCAGATCGAAGAGGAGCTCGCCGCCCTCCAGAAGGAACGCAGCGAGAGGATCAAGTTTCTGTTGGAAAAGCAGGAGCGAGAGATTGAGACGTTTGACATGGAGAGCTTGCGAATGGGCTTCGGGAATTTGGTCACATTAGAGTATCCCAAGGAGGACTATAGATGAGGTTAAATTTCTTTGCCATTTAGAAAAACAAAACCGATAAAAAGCAAACAAAGTAAGGATAAAACTTGCAAACACAACATTCCCCATGTTGACGGGCGTGCTCTCTCTCTTTCTGTCTCTCTTACTGACATCGTGTCGGACCAGTGCCTGTATATTCTTACTCCATCAGGGGCCCCTTTCCCCCGTCACGTCCCGGTGCAGGACAGCTCCTGGCAGTCTTTTCCATAGTATGTCACAGTATTGATGTCTCTGTGCAATGATTAAAAATGTTTCAGTGAAAACTTTGGAGACAATTTTAATGGAGAAAAAAAAAAAAAAAACAAACATAAAAAAAAAAAACTCAAGTGGATGTATGTTGCTTTTGAGCAATCACTCATTTTACCACCAATCAATGAAAGTACAAGCAAAAAAAAATATTAATAATTAAAAGATATCTACGATCCCAGGGGGAGAGAGACTGAATCCGCAGCCTTACCTTAACTAGCTGCTGCATAATTTTATTTTATTTTTATTTTTTTGGTATTTATTCATCAGGAATAATTAAATAATAATAAAAAAATTTTATTAAAGATTGAAAAAAAAATTTGATACATTTTACAGAAAAAAAAGAAAAAAAAAACCTAATCGTGCTGTACATATCAGTGGTGACATATTATTACTTTTTTGGGGGTGGGGAGGGGCGGGCGACGACGTGGTGATTTTTAGGAGAACCATGCCAGGGGCAGCAGGGACGAGCCCTCGCCCCCTCGGCATATTCTTGATTGTATCATAAATCATTTTCTGCTGTCGCAGAGAATGTGAATACACTTAAATGAGCCCACAGGATCCCAGTAGCACAAATTGGGCTTTGTCAAATCGTGTATTTTGTGTATAGAAGGAATTTAAGGAGAGCTTTTACTTATTTTCATATTGTATTTTAACTGTTTCTCTGATCAAAAATTTTTTTACTTCTTTCCCCCCCCTTTCTCCCACCGGCTCCCTCCTGCTCCAGCCACCCCCCACTCTCCAGTTCCGTTCCGGAGCTCAACACTGTCTGTTAGATCATCCCAGCCCTTTTGAGTTTTTATTTTTTGGGGTTGTT